CCCCATGGCGGTGCTGGACTCCAAGTTCAAGGTGAGGGGCGTGGACGGGTTGAGGGTGGTGGACGCGTCCGTGTTCCCCAAGATCCCTGGTTTCTACATTGCGATCCCGGTGTACATGGTGAGCGAGAAGGCGGCGGATGTAATTCTGGGGGTGTAAGGATATGATTGTGTATGTGTGTGCGCGCAAGGCGTCTAGTGCGGTGATACCTGTCTGAGTGACACGATGATGATGGAGTCACCTTGTCAGCAGCTTTACATTCTGCCGACGGGTCAACTGCTCCAATGAGATGAGGGGTTGGAATACCCCATGCACCAAGAAAGCTTTACTTTGTAGCATAATGTTATTTCTGGAATACTTCTCCAATGTCTTGTCAGGGGGATGTCGATGCGGTGCTGCTTGAGTTGCATCCGTATTCAATCCTTCAGTTCACTTCGTGTGCTGCTGTATCACAGTGATTCCTTGTTAAGTGTACCGACCGTGTACCTCTCCCAAACGTCTTGTAACGTGAGTAGTCCATCTCACACGTTCCGTGTGATACGCCGGCGTTGCGACGTTGGTGAGGGCGGGCGGTGCGGGGAGGGAACATGAGGCATCGAACGCGGCGGAAGATAAGCGCCTCCAGAACAGCGGACCCCCCCAGGGATCAATTGGCGGGAAAAGGTCAATGTGTTAAAGGGTTCTGTGGTTTTGTGATACCTATGGCGAGGCGTCCTCTCCGTCCGAGGCGTCTGTCTCACTCCTTTATATGATGCCGATCAGTGGATCCTTCAAGATCGATCATCCCGCTGGGAACCGCTGTTTCTGGGCGCGGTACGGGCAGAACGGGAGACGGGCGCAAGATGGAGGAGTTGGAACAAAGGCAATCGTTGACTGATCCTTTGGGGATGGATACCAACGAAGGACGATGGCACGGGACGGCTTTGCTCCGCTGGAGATAATTCCGCCAAGGCGGGGACCAGACAGTTGGCGAATTCAAATTGCCGGGACGCACGAGATCCAAATGTTCAAAGCGCATCGCCCGAGACGATGGGAAGACGGGAATGCCTACGGGGATGAGCCACGCAGAGGCGCAACTGGTGAGATTGGGCTCGACGGCTTCAGTGAAGAAAGCAGTTAGACGAAGAGGCAAAAAAAGGCCGAAGACACTGGGGGAGAGGAGGAAAGAATAGGGGCAGGGGCCATTTTCCACGTGGCTAATCGATAGCGGAGCAGGGTTTGTAGGGAAAACGAAATTGGATTTCTCAGCTGGATGCGAGTGACCGGACCTAGCATACAAAATTCCATGGGAACGGGGGCAGCAGTGCCGGATGGCGAACGATAACTCGGCAGTGGTGATTAGAGCAAACGCCAAAAAGCCTTTGCATCTGGGGGTTTCCAGAATCCGACTGGCCAGACCGAAAGACAGAAGCCCGCACGTAAGGGCAAACAGCTGCATGCAATATGCATTAGACAACGCCGGAAGCATGCAGGCTGCACGCCCCCGGCAGCCTTCTCTCTGTCTCTTGCTGCTGCTGCTCTCTGCCACTTCGTACCGCGCTTCGTACTGAATCATCCAATCGGGTTACTGTTACTGGCTGGACCTGGATACCGAGGCATTCGCACGAAGAAAAGATGGTTTAGACGCGTGGACCCGGCCCGGCCGAAGTCTAATATCGGCGCTATTTGCTCAGGCGAAGTGGCAGTTGGCCCGTCCCAACTCCTGAGAGGCTACGGAGATAAAGAGACAACTGAAGCCAGACCGGACGAGATGGGGCACGGGCAGACGGGCAAAGTACAGAGTATTTGGGATGGCATAGCGTTGGCGCGGGATCCGTTGGTGTGGTACCCCGAGGCTCCGATAGGACACAGGAGGCGTTCGGGGGAGACCTCCACGACCCTATCCGTGCTGGACTTGAGGCTTTTCGTGGCTTTGCGACTGTGCTTGTTGCTTGCTTGTCTCTCTGGAAATTTGTATGTCATTCAACTGTACTCTTTGGCTGCCATTCACCACCTCCTCTCCCCTTCATCCACCACCCAGCGCTACGGTACCAATCTTGCCCCCCCCCCCCCCCCCCCCCCCCCCAATCTTCCCCTCCACCATCTGGTTTTCATCGTCCGCCGAGACCCCGCGGCGGCTCATCCAGCCCGGTCTGTTCCCTTCCTTCGAGGGTGTTGGTGGGAATTGCAAATGCTGCGGCGCCAGGGGTGCAACATCTACGGCCGCTACGGCCACCAGCAGCTCCAAGCACCAGACCAACCAACAGCACGAACAGCTCCAACAGGAGCCTTTTCCAGATGAACTCTGGCGTTGTTAGCATTTTGGCCTTCCTGGGCCAGCCAACCATGAACTGAAATGAGCACGCTACGCGAGACCTGGGCTCTAACCGAGCACATACAAATTCACATAATGGTGGGGCCGGATTGCCCATTCTCTAGCAGAATTTGGCATCGCGAATGGGAAATCCTGACGACACGCAGAGCGCCGCAGGGAACATCGATGTCTTGGATGGACCGGCCAAGCTCCCCTCCACTCTCCCGTTCTCCCGTTTGAAGCCCGCTCGCCCGCCCGCCCGCTCGCCGTGAACCACTGCCATCCACGCAGTCATCACATCCTTGAGGGGACACAGACACACATATCACACAGATAGATACAGGTACAGGCACGGGCAAGACAGAGATGTTCGAAAGAACTCCCGTCCAGGGAAAACAAGTTGTGGGCCACTGATTACTACTGCGGTAGCATTCGCGTCGATCAAGACGCACGGTTAACCACATCCCCCTCCACGACCCTTTGCCAATTCCTCCCCCGCGCCTATTGGAACGGGGCATGTCGTAGCTATTCCCCGCCGTCCAGGGTCGGAGACGCGATGGAAAGCAGCTAAAATTCTGCCACGGCGTCGAATGCCTGCCTGGCCCCCTGACGGACACCCAGGTACAGCCAACATCGTCAACGTCAGCTGAAGCTCGTCTCTGCAAGACTATCGCGCCAATGCATGGATGACGGGCAACGCTGTGTGATCGGCGGAGCTGAGCTAACAAGGGTGACACGAGTGATTTGATAGCTAACACATGCAGCTAAGAAATCTGAAAAGCTGCTAGCTGCTGCCCAGACGCCCAGATATGCCATCACGAACGTTCGGTCCCGCTATTCGTCGCAGGAATTTTTTTTTTCTATCTGTCTGGTGCAAAAATCTCCAACGACCCGCGCTCTAGTTGGTCTAGACTACCGCGACTGACTAGGAAACTGATCTGATATTACCAGCCTTGAGGGCCCAGATGACACCAGATGACACCAGAATCCATGTACCGAGAAAACGAACAGACCCCCCTGCAGCCTGATGCGCAAGACGGCCGCGCGCACAGAGCTCGCCGTTCTCTGATTCATGTCAGTGCCCGTCCAGCGTTGCAGTCAACCACAACGAGATCTCCCGTGGATGAGAAGCAAAAATATTGCTGTCAATTGTCTTGGCTCTGCTTCTTTCGGTGCTGCTGCCGAACATCAGCCTTTGGGACGGCGATTACATGACGTCGCCAACTTTCACTGCCGAAGACTGTCTCTGTCGATGCGCCCCTCGCCCCCCTACTCCTCCTCAGTTCAACAGCACAAAGGACAATGGCCGATGGAGGGGCGGCCTGATCGGCATCCGCCGACGGTGGCCCGCAATCCTGCCCCGGAAAGATGCGCAAACTCAGATCGGTCACTTCTCAGAATGCGAGACATCCGAAGCGACTCAAGCGAGGAACAGCAAAAAAGAATGAAAAAATGACAAGCAAAAATAAGCAAGCAGAATCGGCTGTCAGGTGTCGCTGCCGCGTGTGACTGGGTCCAATGGAGCCTCCAGGAGAACATTCGAACCCGCAAGATGGGGCTGAGAACAGAGCGCAGACAGCCAGCCGGGGGGGCAGAGAGACATGAGCAACCCGGAATCTGAGCCAAGACTCTCCCTCACGTGGCCGAGACCGTTCTCAGCTCTGCCCGCCACCAGCGCTAATGAGACATGGACAAGTAACAAACGCTGCAGCCATTGGGGCCACAGAACGCTCTCTGCTTTTCTTCGGAACGAGTTTGTCATACTCGGGAGGCTGTCTCCCCCTCCTCCCATCTCTCTCTCTCTCTTCCGCCTGGTTCCCGTGTCAAACTTCCCAAGCAGAAAAAAGTCCTCCGTTTTCCCCTGGATAGTTCGGGCCATCCAACCATGTCCCGTTACCCCCATATCCAATGGCCCAAACGCTGGGCCCCAGTGCCAACTAGTGGTGGCATATGTCAGTCTACCTGTCTTTGCGCAGCCGCCTCTGCCTCTTGTCTCGTCTGGACCTAGTCAGGCTGGCTGGCTTGCTGTCTGAATTTCCGGTCCTTTGTGTCAAAGCGGCCACCCTAGCGCAGGTCGTCTCTGGGGTTAACACGTCTAGCGTTGACTTAGTCCTTGGAACCTCCCTTGTACCTGGCACTACGGCTTTGCCATCCCATCCAATGTAGGCCAACATACGCCTGTGTTTGTCCCTCTTAGGTGCAATCGCGATTCAGGTCTTCGAGCCGGGACAATGCCTGTTCCTCCCAATGAGCCCCATTTGGCGTGGGTGGTGGCTTGCCGCTTGAGTCTTGTCTCTATCGACGGCCGCCGACTAGACCTCGACCTGTCCGAGAGCTCCCTGCGAAGGAGGGTCTCTGTCTCTGCCTTTGCGTTGCCCAGCTGGGGGGGTCGATCCAGCTGCGAGAACCACGGCTGCAACACAAACAGATAAACAGCCCCCGATTCCCACGCTGCCTCTTGATCCGAGAGATCTGGTTTTTGTTGCATTCATTCACCTGCCTTTCACCTCTGTCAGCTTACTTCCGCCATTTGGCGTTTCTGTAGACATCTAGCTCCTTTGACTATCCCGTCTATCCAGCTGACCGAAGAACGGCCCGGCCCCTTACAGCTTACATCCTCTCCCCTCCTTTCGCGCCTGAAGACACCCCTTCATGTCTGTTCAGCCGAGGGCGGCTCATCCTACTAGAAGAGGTACCATGACCGCCGCGATGTATGGGAAACCGAAGCCCAAGGAGTCCGTCCTGGACCTCTGCACGCGCGCGACTCTGCTTGGCAACAACATCTCGGTTCGCATGCTCGAGTTCCTCACCAACGTCAAGCATCAACCCCACGGCTTCCGCGACCTCGCCAATGACTTCCTCGACATCTGCCGCATACTATGGTCCATCGAGGCCGGCCTCTCGGAGGCATCCCGAGTTCACCAGGAGTTCCCCGCCGATATGATCAAGGAGCTCGACACCAAGTTCCGCCAGACCAACAGCGACTTCCAGGTCCTCGACCACATGATGTTTGAGTTCCTCGAGTACGAGAAGAAGGGTGCCATGGGCAGGATCCAGCGCGGCTGGCGCATGATGTTTGCCGACAAGGAAATCTTCAGGATGAGGGAGTCGATACGCAAGGCCAGGGACGCGCTGAGGATGAGCGCGCTCGTCTTCCAGTGGTCTCTCGGAAACTCCAAGACGGACGAGGCTGTTGGGAACGGCTATGCTGGCCTCGCCGCGGCTCTCGATCGCATCAGCCAGTCTCACTCGACCGTCCGGATAGCCAAGTCCAAGTCGTTTGAGGTCCAACATACTCCGCCGGACCAGTCTGACGAGACTTCGCCTCCCCTGCCTCCTCTGCCCGCTCTCCCCTCTCAAGCACCTCACCTCCCTCCTCCTTCTCTCGTCGAGAAGATGTCAGCAGACTTTGTCATGCAAGAGACCAGGTTATCACCGGACCCGCGTCGTCGCACATCCATCTCCAACAGGAGTCATCACAGCGCGTCGGATCACGGCGCCTCAACGAGGATCCCCGACAGGAGGATAGGCCGCGATGACATTACCATCTCAGAGCACGGTCACTACGACCTTCAATCCCCAGTCTCACTACACAACCTTCAATCACCGCCTTCACTGCACGGATCTGGTGTGCATTCCACAAGAATCAACATGGACAGGAGGTCAAACCGGGATGATCTCACCATCTCCGATACCTACGATGCCCCCAGCCGTATCTCAGACAGGAGACCTCTCCGCGACTCCGATAACACACTCTCCCCGTCCTCATCGGGCACTGAGACTCTCATCGGCGAGTTGCAAAACATCGCCGACAGCATCCCGGCCAAGGTCGTCCGCCTCAAGGCAGACCCCATGACGATGCCGCGCTGGACACCGCGCCACAACGCCAACGGCAACCCAGCCCTCAAGACCTCTCTCATTTCCGCCGTCCAGGGCAAGAACCACAAGCTCGTCGAGCAACTTCTTGACCGCGGCGTGTCACCAGACACGGGCGCCGAGAACCACGTTCTCGTCGACTCGGTCCTTTGCCAGGACCACGAGAGCGTGCGTCTCCTGCTGCTCTTCGGCGCTGACCCCAACTCGCCTGACAAGGATGGCATTACGCCTCTCTTTGCCGCAGTTGAGATGAACTCTGTTGAGATGGCCAAGATGCTTCTCAAGTACGGTGCCGACCCCAACCTCTCTGCTGGCTCATCGCAAGAGTCTCCCCTGGCCATCTCCGTCATTGACGGCAAGATTGACTTCGTTCATCTCCTCCTCACGTACGGCGGTGACCCGAACCACATCATGGCCAACGGCAACACCGTCCTCATCTGCTCGATGAACAAGAGCACGCCAAAGAAGCTGGTCGACCTCATGCTTGACTACGGCTCGGATCCCAACGTTAAGAACAGGGAAGGCAAGACTGCCCTGTTCGAGGCTATCCAGTCCGCCAGAGTCGATCTCCTCACTGCGCTCCTGGACCACGGTGCCAACCCCAACTTGCCCGGCCCCAAGCACATGCTTTGGCCAGCGACCTACCAGGCACCGTGTCTCAAGGTTCTCCTTGCCCGTGGCGCCGACAACAAGAAGACGCCAGGCAACATGGAGCTTGCTGTCAGCATCAACAACATAGAGTCCGTCCGTGTCCTCCTCGCCGCCGGCGTCTCCCCCAACCTCAAGAAGGATGGCATCTACACGCCGCTGTGCACGTCCATCCGTGACAACCGCGCCGACATCTTCGAGCTCCTCCTCGAGAGCGGCGCGGATCCCAACCTCAACTCCGCCGAGTACCCCGCCTTCAAGTGCGTCACTCACTTCCGCACCCACTTCCTCCCCCGCCTCGTCGCCGCCGGCAACGACCTGCACAACCCCAAGGGCATCATCGAGATGGCCGTCCGTGTCAACAACATGGAGGCGCTCATGTGGCTCCTCGACCAGGGCGTGAGCCCCAACGACAAGGGCGACGACGGCAACACTCCCATCACCACCGCCATCCGTGAGAACCGCATGGAGATGCTTGACGAGCTTCTCTCTCACGGCGCCGACCCCAACGTGCGCGGCTGCGATTGGCCCATCGTCATGTCCGTCCAGCGCCCGGACGTCCTCAAGAAGCTCCTCCCCGCGGTCCCTGACCCTCGCTCCTTCAAGGGCCTTATGGAGCGTGCCGTCGTCGCCAACCAGCTCGACAGCGTCAAGCTGCTGCTCAAGGCCGGCGTCTCCGTCGAGGACAAGAACGGCGGCGTCTTCTCCCCGCTGACCAGCGCCATCCGCGAGGACAACAAGGAGATGACCAGCTTCCTGATCCACGAGGCCGGTGCCGATATCAACGCGCCCGGTGAGCACCTGCCCATTGTCAAGGCCGTCCGCCGCTGCCGCGGCGACGACACCGACATCCTCGAGATGCTCCTCCGCAACGGCGCCGACGCGAATAAGATGTACCGCGGTTGGAACGCCATCATGCAGGCCGTCGAGAACGGCGACGCCAAGATCCTCAAGATCCTCGTGGAGGCTTGCGGTGTCGACCTCGAGGCCAGGGATGAAGCTGGCCGTACGGTCATGGAGATCGCTGCTGGTCGCGGCTGGGAGGAGTCTGTTGGCATCATCCTCTGGGATGGCAAGAACAAGGCTTAAGCAGCACGTTTTCGTTCAAGCACGATTGCACCACCCTTTTCTCTTAATGTGTAAACTGACCCGACATGGTGCTGACGGCAATACCACTTAATTCCTTTTGTTCATGTGTACGAAATACGGAGAATGGGATGGGCAACTCAAGTTTTTTCCGTGTACATGGAAGGGGGCTATGATATCAGACTGCTTTTCCTGTTTGTACTGCGACTGGATATCACTCTTCGTGCTTTTCTTCGTTTCAACATTACCCCCTTAGACTTAACCTACCTTACTCTCTCAATTGATGCTTACTTCATTATTCACATCATCTGACAATGTTCTCTGCTCCGCGCAACATCTCCACGTGAATTGACCAGGAAGATGGCTCATCTACTACTTTCCTGATGTGTTAGTGAGGTCATGCCAGACCCAGCATGGGCTGCGTTGTTGTTTCCATGGATTTGTACGTCCACATATCTCGCTCAATCTCCCGAAAAGAAATCCTCTTACGCGATCTTGGACGTTGACTTTGGAGACCTTCTATTTCTGTCCTAACGCTACCATTTGCTGACGCTGCAGACCTTACTTTCCTCATCGATGTTATCGTCGTCGTTATCACTAATATCGTCACATCTTTGTCTTCAAAATTGATTATCGTTACTGTTATTCCGTGAGCCCATCTGCTCGGGTAGCAAGAGGCAAGCATAATTGCGTCCGTGAGCTCAGGTGCCACTGCGTTCTTGTTCCGGTGGGGCGGCGTTGAGCCCTGGATCGGGGATGTCTCCGATGCGTACTTGATGCCGGGAGAGAGCCAAGCCCGGTGGAGAGGAAAATGGAGAACCAAGGAGTTGCAAATCGATGCCTTTTGCTGAAAGAAAAACATTCAGATCACTAAATTGCTTTAGCCGGAATTCAGGCATTGTGTAGCATTACCGAAGCCGGTGGGATGCCACGCTGTGACATGGCCTGGCGAAGACTTGACATTTTGTACAAGATCCAATACCAGCTGTGTTTGTACTTAAATAGGGCACTTGTCAGTACAAAATGTCCTGGAAATCACACTCATTCGCACCAGCTACCCTTCAAGAAATCCCCCCTCAGAGTTGCCACAATGAGAGCTCTTCCCGTTCTTACCAATCTCGCAGCTTTGGCAGCTTGCTCAACTGCGGCAGCCATATCCTCGCGACAGAGCGCCGGATCAGCCACGGTTGATGTCTCTCAAACTACAGGAGAAGCCGCCTTCCTTGGGTCCGGCTTCATATATGGCTTCCCGGACAATGGCCAGGATGCTGACAACTCGATTCCCGACCACTTCCTCACCGATATCAAGTTCAGGACGTGCCGCGCTGGCGGTGCGCAGATTGCTGCTTCCGGCTGGGCAATCGGAGGTGAAGAGGGCTACCGTGGCCGCTTCGATTCAACCCTTTCTAACTATCGTACCACTCGCAAGTACAATGCGGACTTCATCCTTCTCCCCCACGACATCTGGGGCTCTCAGGGCGGCTCGTCTGCTGACTTTCCCTTCCCGGGCGATAACGGGGACTGGTCTGGAATGGAAGCCTTCATCCGCCGTCTCATCTCTGACGTTAGAGCCAACAACATGCTCGACGGTCTAGTGTTTGATCTCTGGAACGAACCTGATCTCGAAGGCTTTTGGAATCGTCCCTGGTCTCAATACGTGGAGTATTACGTTCGAGCTTCTCAACTACTGAGGTCTGTTCTACCTTAAATGCTAGGCGTTCTTTGGCAACTGACGTGTCTGAGACAGGAATGAGATGCCCGAGGCAAGAATCAGCGGACCATCATCAGCCCATTCACCAAGCCAAGACAGCGCCAACTGGCGAGCCTGGATGCAGGCTGTCGCTCAAGGCAATGTGGCCCCAGACATCTACTCATGGCATCAGATTGGGGCATGGGAGCGAGAACCCAATACAACTGTGCCTGCCCTTCGCGCTCTCCTAGCCGAGTATGGGCTCCCGGAGAGGCCAATCGACGTCAACGAGTACGCCTGGCCGGATGAACAAAACCCTGCTAACTCGGCTTACTACCTTGCACAATTGGAGCGCCACAATATCCGCGGGCTGCGCGCCAACTGGGAGGGCGGCGAGAATCTGCACGACTACCTAGGCAATCTTGTTGCCAAGAACGATCAGGGGTATTATCCCAACGGAGAATGGCAGCTTTACAAGTACTACGCAAACATGGTTGGAGAGCGGGTGTTGACAGCCGCGTCTTCAGACCTGAAGTTTGATGCTTTCGCCGTTTTGTCGAATGGGTACTTGAAGATCCTCGCGGGTACCAGGACCGTCCAAAACCAATATGATATTGTCCTCAAGGGCTTGGCCGAGCTTGGACTTCCTGCGCAGGGAACGTTAGAAGTTCACAGGTATCAGTTCGACTGGGGCGGTGCTCAAGGACTTGTCTATGATGCCCTTGACCTCGGCTCATTCACGTACAGCTACTCCGCTGGCGAGGTTAGTTTTGACTCTTACGAGCAGATAGGAGCTTTTCGATACTAACATGCTTCTAACAGCTTACCATTCCACACGACCCGCCAACTACTGCAACGGCATTTGCTTACGAGATCAAGCTCACCTAAAGCTTCGTGTATCGTCTCAAGCACTGGGTTGAAATTACATGCGTCGGGCTTTCAAATATTTTCTCCCTTCTAGCTTCATACTTTCGTACAGCAGGTTATCCCCTGCGGGCACACCTTGTAAATATGTAGTTGCACTCGCTCGTTCGAGAGAATCAAATGTATCGCACGCCCAACTATGAAGGACAAGGACAACACGGACTCTCCGTCCCGCTAAATCTTGAAGACGTCCAGAAGAAGTCCCGCAAGCAAGAACCCCAAGGCTAAGCCACGTATGCCGACGACGAACTTCACGAACACGAGGACTAGCGTTTGCAATCCGTGCGGCATCGAATGCAGACTAGCCGCTCGTGTCTGGCAAACCGAAGCGCTCGTCGACCTGCGAGTTGCTGAGAGTCACGTTCGAGTCGAGCGCGAAGACCTCTTGGTCTAAAAAGCCGCGAACGCCATCTTCCCACCTAGTCTTCTGGGCGAAGAAGTTGATGAGCTTCTTGGACTTATCGATCGCATCACGGGCACCGATGACGTTGTTGAAAGTGTCGAGGTCCTTCGGCACCCGCTTCAGCTTCGATCCGTCGTAGTGAGAATGTCGACTCGACTGGTTTGCATATGTGTGGAATGTAATTACCGGCCCGAGCTTTGCGTACTTTCCGGGCTTGAATCGGCGGTACCCTGTGATGAGTCGTTAGTCATTGGTCTGATGGAAGTAGCCACAGCTGAAATATTCCTGATAGCAATCGCATTGATGCTGACAAGCGCACCTTCTTCATCATTTGCGTCCAGATCCTCTGGGTTCTTGAGCCTTCTCAGCGTGTGCCCAAGTGCATATGAGTCCTGGATCATGTGAAGGCAGTTTCCGAGGGCTCGCTTGGGAATATCGGCATGTCGATAGGACGGAGTTGTGCCCAGAAACAATTGCTTTATGCTCACGTCATCCGAGGGAATCGAGCTGGCATTAAATCGATCGGGAAACCTTTTGCCAAGCCTGTCGGCTGCCGACACATCCTGGCCTATGGCAAGTTTGTACATGATCTCCAGCCAGACAATCATGTTCTTCTTGGTGACATTAGGGTCTTCATTGGCCTGCGAACTCAAGGCGTGAAGGAACTGAAGGTCACCAAAGTGACTCCGCTTCATGAGTCCAGATTCCTCGCCGGTCAAGAACTCCCCAAGAAAGTCCGTGGCGGCGCTCATCTGGTTGTTCTTTTCCTTCGAGTCGACGAACAAAAGGCAAGTTGGGTCGTCGCTCCAAATGAGCCCTCGCATGTATTCCCATTGGTCCGCGTTGAGACCTTTATACTCAGTTCCCTCGGGGAAAGGGTGCTTGGATCCGATGAAAGCAGCGATGGCCATGTCCTCGTGCATCGACTCCTTGAATCCTTCGACGCCGATCTCATAGCTCAAGTGCAAGTCTTTGCCATTCTCGATCACCATGTCGGTGTTAACGAGTTGAGAATATAAATCCGTAGATGAAACGCCCTGCAGCACAAGGCACCACGCAGCGGGCAGTATGGAACGCATCTTGAAGTTGTAGGAATCTGGATGTTTTACTTGATGAGGCATGGGCGCACGACTTGGCCAGCAGCCGCGTCTTAAGTATGTCGCCAGGGCTGTGGTAGGCATCCCGATTTTCAATATTAAGAATTCAAAATCGGCCTGGATAACATTGAAAAAAGCCACAGAAGGCTACGAGAATGTATTCTGATACGACACTCACCCCTGTTTAGGGCATGCGGCGTACAGAAAGTTTAGGGCTATGTATGGCGCCCGCATAGGAGGCTTTTTATTTAATTTACTACGAATCTGCGCGAAGGTTTAATTTGAGTGGTGACTATTGAATTTGATGATGGGTATGTTAGGAGTAAGGAAGTAAATTGTTTTGACGGTTGAGGTGCACGACGCGCATTCGTCGACTGTCATTGGGTGGACGGTACATGCGGCGTCACAAGTACGTTAAGGCATCAGATCAAGCCACAGCCCAATGGTTTGGTTTCCACGTGCAACTCCAAGAAGCCTTCGGCGAAAGGTCTTTCCCAAACTATATCCCATCTCGGAAACTAATTTGAATGAACACTGTGTTACCTGTGGCTATTTCCTCACAGCCCGCTCACTAGAGTTTGTTATTGCCGCCCTGGAGCTGTCCCAACGATGATAACACGACTTGCCATGGCCTTGGGACTGAAGCAAACGTACGTATATGTTCTATTGGAATCGACTGTAGTAAGAATGTTTGAAGATCAGCTGAGAAGTAACTCGGATCGATATCCGCAGGTGTACTCCAAAGTATCAAAATCGTTTTTCAGACACCCAATAGCCCATAGCCACCCATTTCACTGACGTTGCGCAATTCCAGAAGAGTTGGGGCAAAGTAGGATGACTAGAAATTAAACATAGAGGCCTTTGCTGTTCTCTGATAACGTGGAGTTGTGAAAACCGATTATCTTGAACACCTTCCATCCGTGTCTGGGAACGGGGTCAGCAGATTGGAAGGAATGCAGGCTCTAACATGCCCGGACGAGCCCTGGAAACATGCCTACATTCTGTCTTATCTGAATAGTGAACAGTTGTTATTCGCTCCAACCGACAGTTGAAGGGGGCCTGTCCGATGGCCTCGGAGTTCTGGTGTTGGTTGAAACAAATCTAGGAGCACCTACCTTGAAAACGTGTAGCTCGTCCGCTAATTACAGGACTGTGTGTGAGGCCTTACTCACGATCAAATCGGCGGGGCAGAATAGGATGTGTTTCCTTTATCGACTAATCCATTACAGCCGCTGCAGCGTCGAACAGCGAACGGCTTGAACGGGAATGTCAAAGAAAGATGACGAGGGATATGGGATTGCCGCTTGCCCAATTCGATTCGGATATTACGACACGCAGAATACGTGCACTGCTGAGGTGAGACCGATGGTCTCTCCTTATTCAAAGACGCTGGTAGGATTGAGTAAAGGGCGTTAGAACCGAAATAAGCACTTGAATCTGACATGATCCGTTGGTATCGGACATGGCGCCCGACTCCGAAAGATGGATCACTCAGAACATCGAGTTGACAGGGGTTGATCCCAAACAATTCAACACGATTCGTTCCACCGCAGAAAAAATCCCATTCCCAGGTTATCGGATTATGAGTCGGTGGTTCTGCGCATGCGCCCTGGACCTGGTCGTCCTTACGACAAGGGAGCCTTGAAGTGTCAATTCCTGTGACGTTGTCTGAATTTTGAATGATCATAAAACGAGTCTAGAGTCAGTATGTTGACAAGATAATTCCTTATCAATCGTTGAATAGAAGATCACCGACGCATCAAAAAAAGTTCATCCTTCGCAGATCTACCGCTTTATTCTTAGTTTGTGGTTGCTGTAACGCATGATGATTTGCATGTGAATAACCTCGCGGCGATCGACGTCATCCCGTCATCCTGCAGGAGGCGATAAGGCGGGGATCTGGAGGGTTTAAAGGAACCTAATTCAAACCTCAACAAATGCAACTCTCTTTCATCCCATACTTGACACACTCTTACTGAAATCCGACGTTGTAATATCGCGAATGTCGGAAACATGAGCGGGTCGCATCAATCCAATGGCGCCGCGTGCGATTCGCAAGCGGAGCACCCGAGCATTCCCCTCGTCGATCTGGACGGTCTCAGAAGCGCGCAACCGCAAACAGCGCAGCAGGCAGGCAAAGCGCTAGTCGACGCATTCAAGACTTTCGGCTTCGCGTATGTCAGAAATCATGGGCTGCCACAGGAGACTGTGGACGCCGCGTTCCAATGGGTTTGTCTCTCCCGACTCATGTCTGTGCATGATATCACAACTCACAATTCCATCCAGAGCGCCAAGTTCTTCTCGCTGCCCCAGGCAGAGAAGGAAAAAGCACCGCATCCCCCAGAGGGATGGTGGCACCGGGGGTACTCGGGCATAGGCCGAGAAAAGGTCACGCAAATGGTGTTTGACGCCGACGAAATCAGCGAGCGTCGCAAGATCCCCGACTTTAAGGAATCATACGAGATTGGCCGCGAAGACGATGATCATCTCCCAAACATTTGGATCCCCGACGAGTCGCTACCTGGCTTTCGGGCGTTCTTCAACAGCTTCTACGAGGACTGCTACCAGCTCGAACTCCACCTGCTCCGGGGAATGGCGCTGGGAATGGGATTAGACGAGGCCTTCTTCCAGGGGTACCACGTGAACAAGGACAACCAGATTCGGCTCCTCCATTACCCACCGGCCGAGGAAAAGTTGCTTCGCGCGGGAAAGGTCGAGCGGTTGGGTGCGCACACTGATTTTGGGTCCATGACATTGCTCCTCCAGGACGAGGTCGGAGGGCTGGAGGTAGAAGATCCTAACGAAGCGGGACGTTTCGTCCCAGTGCCGTACATACCTGGGACGATCGTCGTCAACATTGGCGACTTCATGCAGCGGTGGAGCAACGACACGCTCAGGTCGACAATGCATCGTGTCCGGGCGCCGCCGCTGGAAACGGATGTGAGCGGCAGTCGAGTCACACGGGCGCGTTATTCCATCCCGTACTTCATCGGCGCCGACTCAGAAAAGACTGTTGATTGTGTTCCTGGCTGTTTCGGGCCCGAGCGACCCAAGAAGTATGACCCGATCAACAGCCGGGAGTACATCGAGATGCGTCTGAATGCAACGTACTGAGAAAAGGCGGGAAAATTCCCACGTGTATTGCTTCCATGTGTTTTTCTTGGGTGGGCATAATGGAGTCCAGAATCCCATCGATTCATCAGAGAATCCCAAAAGAACACTTGTGGTTGGCGGTATCCTCATTGCCAAAGCTGCATGCCGTGGAGAACATTCGCATGCCCCTCAACATGCCTGTTTGTGCGTGGCCAGAGTCCCGCTGAAGAATGCCGTGATGTCCACTTGAATGGCCAAACTCTCGTCGATCTCCGTCCCCTGTGCCCCTGGATTGGTGATGAGCGCCGAACATGGTAGTATTCAAATCTTTTGGTCAGCGGACTTGGCGCTCCATGACACGTCGAAAACCTGCAAAACCCCAAGCTGACACCACCGGCAGATAGGCCACCATCCACCGCCGAAAGGCGGCTGGCTGGATCCCCAGTCGGGATGGTGGATGCGGTGAGCCAGGCGACCAAGGGGCTCGTTCAGAAGGCGAGGATGCGCACGACCGCGCGTTATCCGCTGTGGGGATGTCCTATGGTGGTTCCCTGATATAGGATGGACAGGGACTGGGGATCATTCTCGTGACCCGTGGGAACACGTTCCACACTCTTTCGTCCCGTCGAAGCCTTATTTTCTCCTTTTCGCCGCCTGGTAGGGAACGGCAGACGACGAAGCATAGCATCGCGACGAAACGACGACGGAGCATCATTGAAAATGTGCCCCGAACAGGACGAGGATCAAGCGACCGCGGCCGCTCAGCGGAACCAGGACGCGGCGGCGGCCGCTGGTATCTTGCCCGCTGAGCATTGGGTGCAGGCGGCACGAGTCAGTCAACAACGGCGGTCCGACCGCGTTCCCAAACTTGGTACCGGAGATGATTGACGGCGTGCTAGGAGGCTGCTAATGACGGCGACAACGACTCGGCGCTAGGCGACGACAACGCCAGCTCTACTGCGTCGATCACCTCTACCATTCTTGAGTACCGAAAGATTCACGGACGCACGTTTCACGGCGAGGTCGGGAATGCCCAGTACTGGTCAGATGCTCCGAGTCTGGTTGAGCGGGTTATCATATCACTAACACTAGTTGTAGGGGGAGCAACGATGAGCAGCAGAATGAGTGCTGGGATATTAAGTGCGATGAAGTAGTGATACTGAACCTGACAGGGGACTGACATGCGGCAGTCATCATCTTTTGACACTTTCTTGCGGCGATAAGCTTCACTTGGCACCGATAGACAAGAGCAAGCTGACCAAAGCCCTCGATGTTGGAACTGGAACTGGTGAGCATGCAAGTGTTCGACTTACATGAGACTCAAGCTGATCAATTGTTTGAACGCAGGTATCTGGGCTATGTAAGAATTCGATATTCTGCGATGCCAGCAAATCTCTAACATTGCTCAGTGACTTCGCCGATGAGAACCCGGAATGCGAGGTTATCGGAACCGACATCTCGCCCATTCAGCCGACATGGGTTCCTCCTAACTGCAAGTTGTAAGTGCGAGAGCTTTTCGTCTCATCGCATACCCTCTAACACTAAAATAGCGAGATCGAGGATTGCACTCGCGAGTGGACCTTTGCTCCTGGTACCTTCGACTACATCCACATCCGTTTCCTCGTCGGAAGTATCGCGGATTGGCCCGAGCTGTTCAAGCAGGCCTACGCGGCTCTCAAGCCAGGTGGTTACCTCGAGAGTTTCGAAGTCTCGCCCGCTATCATGAGCGACGATGACACCGTCCCGGAGACTAGTGCGCTGGGTCAGTGGGGCAAGTTCTTCGAGGAGGGCGGCCGGAAGATGGGCCGGACCTTCCGTGTTCTCGATGAGAACCTGCAAAAGACCTCCATGGAGGGAGCTGGCTTCGAGAATATTACGGAGTGGAACAACAAGGTACAAAATCTCACTCTCTCGATCAAATGACGGTACTGACGAGAGACCAACGAAGGCACCCATTGGCAACTGGCCAAAGGACCCGGTGAAGAGAGAAATTGGTGAATGGGCGCAATTGACTCTTCTTTCTGATATCGAGGGCTATGTTCTCTTCATGGCCAACGTCATGTCAACTTGGAGCAGGGAGGAGATTCAAATCTACGCCGCTCAGCTCCGCCGCGAGATTAGATCTGGCAAGCTGCATGGGTACTACCGCCAGAGGTGTGTTTGGGGACGGAAGCCCCTTGATCCCACTCCGGCACCAGAGCAGTAGCAGACGATTGCAATTGCAGCTGAATCCATTGGCATCAGCAAGCCTGCAGTAATATCATAGTTCAGTCTTAAGTCAGACACGATCGGATTGCTCCACAGTTAAAGTGAACGGGGCATCATCCGCGATGAGTCCTTTCCAACACGCAGAAAGGGGAGCTTTTGTATTGGCTGACGGATCCATTATTTAGCGCCCGATCGGGAATTCTCGCAATATCTCTTGCTCCGTATTACAGGTTGATGACATTGGTCATCTTGATGCAGCCTGATCACCCCCACCCCACATACATCATTTGCGCGAAAGCCCGAAGTGAGGGGTCAAGTCAGCTCAACTTCACAACGACCACGCTGCCAGAGACCTTCTCATTCCACTCCGTCACCAACCTGAAAGTCTGAAAATCATTCGTTCGAAATCCGAGACTACAGCAAACCAAATGGATCGCTTATGACGGCGTTCCAGTCACGGGTCCGATTATCAGTGCTCTTCGCCGGGCTCTGGAAAATCTCTTAGGAACGCCCCTACGCTATCTATCACCTGCCACGCGCAGCCACAGCCACTCGACACTCACCGTTGCCCTGGCGGTATCTATTGAATCTGTCTCGATCATCTTTGGCTGTACCCGCTGTCCCAACACACGACTTCATCCTTGTCAAACCGCAACCTTGTGTAAAAATGGATTTGCCCGAGTCTGGAATCTACCGAGTGCAGCCAAACGGCATGCGGCTCATCAATACCGAGACTCTTGAGCTCCAGAAGTTTCCAGAGGGCTCGATTCCACCTTATGCCATCTTGTCCCATGTCTGGGGCAATGAAGACGACGAATGCTGCTTTCAAGACTTCAAAGACACTAAAGCGCATAGCGACAAATTCAAGTCCAAGAAAGGATACGCCAAGATCGTCAACTTCTGCCGCAAAGCTCAGGAGTACGGTCACGCATGGGCATGGGCTGATACTGTTTGCATCGACAAGACGAACTACGAAGAACTTAACACCGCGATCAACTGTATGTTTACGTGGTACGAGCAGTCGGAAGTCTGCTTTGCATATTTAGAAGATGTTGAATACCGTGGACCACGGGTAAACATCAGTCACTTAATGCGTTTACACTTAGAAGATGTGAATTCAAGACCACCAAGTCCATTGTTTGAAGCATTCACGCAGGCTTCATGGTTCACACGGGGATGGACACTTCAGGAATTCATAGCCCCTTCCAGACTTGCTCTTTTTGAGAAAGAATGGACCTTCCTATTCTTCAGAGATGACGCAGGGTCTGACTTATGGGACTTAGGAAATATCCCAGAACTTGTTGGCTTTCAGCGAGAAAGCATCATTGTCAAAAAGCGACGCGCTTCGCTGTCAGGCCATACTGCGGAGACAAAAATGAAATGGGCCTCTCGACGAAAGACGCGGCACAGTGAGGATATGGCATATTGTCTCTTAGGCCTGTTTGATGTACAGATGCCTATCCGTTATGGGGAAGGCGTTCAAGCTTTCAAACGACTCCAAAATGTCATCATTAACCTCACAGGGGACCCGACACTATTGATTTGGTCTCAGGCCTCCTCCTGGTCAACGCCTCACGGCATCATGCCTCACCCCTATCTAGCTTCTAGCCCGTCAAACTTCAGAAGATTCCCCGGATACTACCTGTACGGCCAGACTTTGAGATTGCACAACATGTCCTTGACCAGAGATATGATTCAACAGACGGCATCTACCAGGCGGAAAAATGACTTGATTATCCATCGGCCATTGATACGGACACTTGACGATCGGCTCGCTTTGCTAGTACTTGGAGGTTACGAAACTGTCTCCTATGGCATGCGAGACTCAAAACCCAACAAGCTAATGTTCATACCGGTTCTATCGGCGGGCCCCTCGAAGTGGTGGCGTGCAAATTTGCCACTCATGGCAGGACACGACACCGGAATCATGCACTGTCTATCTCCAACAGAAGTCTACCTCGAAGACATTTCCGATTTACCCAACAACAGTACATCGTGTTCATCCAAAACCAACATCGACGCCTGTGACACAAAACCTACTGTTGATCGATGGGTGCTAGTGACCTTCCCGTTGGGAATGGGGGGTTTCGGAGTTGTAGCGGCGTTCCCTGGAATGGAACGGGCGTCTCCACCAGGCTCAATTCCGATGGCCAAGTTAAAGTCGTTGTATGGTGCGACTCTTGTGCTTGAAAATACTCTGTTCAAGCCCCCCAAGCGTATCGGATTCCTTTTCGTATTAGACGAATACCCCAACCAACCAAACGACGGTCTGCCCGCAATTAGAAAAACCACGTGCAGAGTTCTAAGTGAGACAGACGTTGAAGATGTGTCTCAATCTGGTCTGCAAAGGGTTTTGGAGCATCATATAAACTTCATTTCGTTGGCTGCTGAAGATCACTTCGATCCACCGCGAGCTCACTGGCGGAAGAACGATCAATTAGATAGTTGTTACGCTGGAATTCGCAGTTTATGGTTTCCATGTTCAGGGGACTCTGATGACTTTCAGAATAACAGCAAAGGGGAAGAAGATTGGTGTTTGAACAGTTCCAGAGCTACACCCCGAGATGTAGCTGTCGCTCAGCTGGTTCTGGATTGCCCAAAGCCGAGCACCCCGCAGCTCATCTTAGGCATCTGCGAGTCAATGCTCTAGAGTGAAATGAAAGGTTAATTCAAGCGAGACATCGAGGTTTTCATAGCGATAAAGAGAAATGTTCAATTTGGTTTGTATCCATCGTGTCGAAGCCTTCTAGATAGGCCTTTACAAGACAGGGCATTATCAGATGATTTGTGGCTCTGGGCGCATGGCCTTTTTAGGCGTGATATTTCTTGGATAGGTATCACATGTATTTTCAACGTAAGAACCAAGTAAAGACCGAATTTATCCTTTGAATACTACCAGAGTCGTAAAGTAGGAGCAATGCCGCTTGTAGGTGATTGGAAAATTGCTTCTTCTTTGGTCACGATAGCAAGCAGCATAAAATAATTCTCCCGAAAGAGCTCGCTGTTATCGAGACCATCCTTGAACCAGTCTGTTGGCAGAAGTTGTATTTCTGAAGAATCCCTGAGCCCTACTTTTGTTTTGACCCATTCAGGGACAGATCTGTTTCCCTGGCTGTGGTCTGAAAGTGACAGAGCGGGTGATCTAGGGTCTGAGGCATGACGCTGAAAGCATAAACACAAAGTAATGAATTCGGAGACAGTCGATGTGTAAATAATTGCTGACGTCTTTGGTTGTTCATTACCATCAAAATGGCTTTCGACTCTCCAGTTCCTATCTCGTAGAAAGATGAGGATGAAAGTCATATCCTGCGCCTCGGCTGCGAGAATTCTCTCGAGAGCAGCAACTTGCAAAAGTATTCCCCTTCCTTCTTGAAAATGCCTGCTATGCAACAGGCCGCTCACAAAATGATGGACAAATATCATCCACAGAGATATTGATCTGCTAGTGTGCGTGTTCGCAGCGTCGCCGCCGCGCATGACGATCTGCTGTTTCATGGAATGTCCCATTGACATCAGCATCTCAATCATTGGTGCGCAATGTCTGCGCGCAAGAACTGCGCTTAGCAACAAGCGATCGCCTTGTTGCACTGAGCCAGTAACGGGAGACTTTGCCGTAGCAGAGTGAGAATTTGGCTCGTGTCCGTGGGAGGGGATGGTTGTGACATTCTGAATGTGCTCCAAGTGGTTCTGGAGGTACTGTATGTGTCCGTATAGTACAGCAACAGTAAGAAATGATTCTTCCGGCGCCGAAAAGCTACTTGATAGTTTCAGCTCAAGACCGTATTCGAGCGACCAAATGCCCAAGAGACTATTGAACTTTTCTCTCCAAACCAACTCTAGTATCCGCATCGTAGCAAGACTGAGAACAACTTCCGAGTCTAAGGTCTTCAAGAAGTAGTCTGTGAACTCCTCGATATCGCAGAGCCGGAGAGGGGTTCGAATTATTTCCACCATACGCAAAGTTACATGAGTAACGTGAGAATCGTATGTCGGAAACATGTGCTGGAATTCTGTTGTTCGAGATGGCGTGAGAACATAATCTTTAACGGTTCTATGGAAGAAGCGGATTCCTTTGATACCCAATTCGAGGAAAGGACTCGAGTCTGCAGTGCGAGAAAGAACCAAAAGGCCTTTAGAGAGGTTTTGTATCTGCCTGGATAGTCGCTCCTCATTCTCAGCAACAACATAGTACGTGTACTCCGGAAGATTGCGTCCTATCCTCAAATTCCCTTCGCTGTCGATATAGTCAAACACTGTGGAGTTCACGCTATGTGTGAATGGGTTTGTTGCAATGAGCAGAAGAAGGAAATATGCTTTCCTCTTATCGTCTCGACTCATAGCGGAAAAAATGGTGTCGTACAGATCGTCGAGCTGAATGGGAGTGCTACGAAGCTTGGCCCGGAGTGCTATATAGCTGCTGTGCAAGCAGGCTTCCGTGATAAGCATTTTGACAACGAGTCTAGCCCAGAGAAATACACCTTCAGCCAACTTGACAATTCTTTCAACAAGATCCAAATAGAATTCGGAAACACGCGGGAAGATTTCATCTTTCTCAAAGGTACAGCGAGCTGACTGGTAGATGTCCGCATCTGTGAGTTCGTGTAGGTGAATCCTAGTTCGAGAGCTGAATGTGTCGAGAAAGTGAACCTCCGGCCTGGAAGTAACGCAGATCTTAATAGAGCTTGTCCTCGCCCAATCCCGAAGACTTCTTGCAAAAGCTCGTTGATCGTAATTGCTGGCATCATACTCGTCAAGGCCGTCAATGAACAGACACCATTTGAGACCCATTTCGTCCGACTCTGCTGATAGGGCTATGAGACGGTCGAAAGCCTCATCTATTTTCGATGATCGGAACAGCTCCGACTCCAGTGTTTTGCTAGATGGGTTCACGGAGACGTGGTGCCATTGCTGTGGCAGAACCATAGGTATTAGGTGAGGACATTGTTGAAGCGTTGAAAACAAAACGGATCGGCGCATGCCAGTCAATGTCCTCTGGTATTTGTCACCATCCGATCTCCAGAAGAAGAACGAACAGAGTATAAGCTTGTTCTCCCCTACCCATTTCTGAAGAGCTTGAGCAGTCTTCTCGTGGCCAACAATAAGCTTCAAGAGAGTCGACTTTCCACATCCTGCTTTACCAGAAATGTGGAAGATACCGCGGTCAGCAGAGAGCCAATCCTGAAATCGACGTCTGCCGTCATTCATACACTGCTCTTGTCTCGAAGACATGGCAAATTTCAAGCCATTAGCTTTGGGATGAGGGCTAAGACGTGCCGAGGAGGAGGCATCTGATCCAGAATCGTTATCCAAGTTATCATATCGTGAAGCCCGGTATGAACTCGACTGGGTTTTGGACCTGAGATATTCTTGAAATTCTGGATCGGTCTGCAAAATCCATTCAAACGTGTCTTCGCCAGCCTTCTCAATTGAGTCGACTCGGTTGAATATGCCTTCAAAATATAGATTCTCCAATATTCGAGTTTGTATCGGCGTTGTTTGCATGAACCCTTCAAGTCGGGCGAGGTTGTGAGATATTTCATTGAGCGAACTGAAGAGCTCCTGATGCGCAACAGTTCCTGTTGATGATGCGGAGCTGACTTCGCTGTCATCCTCGTCCTCCTCCAGCTTGCGCAAAAGGTTGACAAAGTCTGATCTGAGCTGTTTTAGCTCAGTGGCAGATGAGGATGATAGTCTCTCTGCTTCGGTCTGAATAACGTCAAGCTGAGACTTTATCCCGGATTGCTGCTCACTAGTTCGGAGTCAGATCGAAGGCTGTTGAACTTTGGGGTAGGACTGGCTTTCGTACTTGACCAAGGCCAAAAGCCTTGTATTCATCTCCGCACGGTACTCTCCCAATCGCCTCTCAATATCGTTAATGTCATCCGCTCTGCGCATGCTAGCCCATGTCGTCTTGAAAGTTTCCCATCGTGAATTTCTCTTGGCCTTCAACTTCTCCAAGATATTGATGAGCTCCTGACAAAGATCGCCACAGTCTGTCGCAAGAGTCCTCAGTGCCTTCTCATGCGTGGATGTACCGAGAGAGCCCCCGTCGAGGTTGAGTGAGAACTCCTTCAAGTCTTTGATGATTTTTCCGATGCGCACATTTTCTGTGGTTTGTGTTTCTCCCTTGTCATAGAGGTTCTTAGCGCCGGTGACTAACTTCCAGGAAAAGTCAATGAAGGCAATGACGCCTGAGGCTACGCCAATGGCAGTCGCTGGATCCATCACCGAGCCCGACAAGACCTGCAATAGCTTCGTGGCTGCTCAATAGCTATCGTGACAGCAGTCGATTTGATGAAAACTGACTTCAGGCAGCCATTTCAGAAGCGGGGTAAGGCAGCAGTCGTGGCCTTGAAGATAATTGACGCAGCCTGTCCGCAGGCTCTGCTTATGCCTGATAAGACCCACCCCCAAGTAACGAAATCCCCCCATAACGAAATGCCAGTTCCCCATATAAAACCACTAAAACACTACATATTAATACATCTATATCTCTATACTTACTATAAGAATAAATATAATAAAATTAATATAATTACTAATTTACTATATAAATAAATATACCTCGTTTATTTTTATTTTTATTAACTTAATACTATAAAAATACTAGATTTAAAAACTAAGCTAAAATGTTAAAGATTTACTAATATTTACTAGTATTTTCTTAATATTAAAAAAACCTTTATAAAAAGCTATATATATAATTAAAATAGAAAATATTTTAAAGAATTAGTATATTATATAGTATTAAATATTAATATAAGGTCTTTTTTTATATAACTTAATACTAAGTATCTCTATATTAAAACTACTTATAAAATACTACTAACTTAAAAATTAAGTACTTTATACTTATATTACGTAATATATTTCTATATAAGAAAAAATCACTATATTTTTCTTATAATTATAGTAATTTTTTCTTTTTTATATATTAATTCTCTATAGCTATAGAGATAACTAAAGTTCTATTAATTTAGGTATAAATATAAGGCATTTCGTTATAGGGGGATTTCGTTACTTGGGGGTGGGTCTTATGATTTGCTCTTGTCCGATACTCCACTGCAGCGACATGTGACAGCTCAAACTCGGAAGGTGACACAAATCTCCTTCAAGCCAACAGCAATCGGCAATTGGCATCCAATCGAGAGATCAGCCATGGCGCAGAGTGAGCAAGCAAAACTCTTTTGGCCATCGATTTCCAGTATTCTGAAATGTTTGTGCGACAAGAACCTCGTCTCCGAGATCCAGCAAATTAGCGACGCCGTCGAAAATGTACACTCCGTTGCGTTGACAGCGTCCGCCCCCCCTTTTTGCCGAAATTACGCACGCATAATCCCTGTATATACATGAAAATTTGCCCAACGCCACGTAGATATTCGTAGTACGGCAATTGACCTATTCTGATGGCTTCAATTGATCTATTTCTATTGAATCTCATTATCTGAGGGCATCGTGATGCCTCCTAAACGCCGCCGCGCGGCTCGGCAGGCGGATGATGACCCTTCTGGGCATCGTCCGTCACCCATCGCCAACGGTACGCGGAAACAACGACGTATACAACAACTGGCACAGGACGCCGCCAGAGATCCTCCTCAACGCTCTGCCTCGCCGTCGATCAGGATCGTTACGCCCGCCGAGAGGGCTCGCCGGGCTGCCGCCGCCGAAGAGGCCGCCGAGGAGGCCGCCGAGGAGGTTATCGTCGCCGAGGCTGGACCCGAGACTAATGATTTGGTGGCGGCTGAGTCTACATCGCGAAGAAAGCGTGTACTTATAGCCCCTCCGTCATCACGAAGAGCTCCAAAAGCGTCCTCTCGCCAAAAAGCAACGACAACGCAGAGGAAGCGAAAGAAGGATCCGCCGCATACGATCCGGCTCCGAAGTACTCTGCCTTCGTCGATGCCACCGTTTCGACCAGACTCGACCCCAGTTAACCCAACCCCTCGTCAAACCACTCGATTTGCGGACGATACGCCTACGGCCCCTCGCCATAGCGCTGATGATACGTTTATGTCGTTCCACGATGTATTTGAAGAGGAGGACGATATGGGTAACGAGGAACCAACTCTGCTACAAATCCAGGTTACCCGTGGCCCAGCGCTCAAGGGTAACGGTTTACCTGTTCTCGATCTAACCATCGAGAGCATCGCGTATAACAGATTCAGTATTGCTCCTGTATTAGATGCGAATAGTAGAGACTGGGAGGCAGACAGCGGCGCCCAACTTGAGGCAGAAGTGGCTCACTCGTATATTGTGAAGAAGGCCAATATCGCTGTTGTCGTTGCTTGGAGGAAGCCCACCAACGCATCTAAACCAACACCAATCTTCACTCGGGTCTATCCGTCTACTGGAGGGGTCACTTGGCCAAGTATTCCATGGGTTGATATTGTCCCCTCTCTTGAACAAGCTGAAGAGAGGGGTGAAGTCCACCTCACCGTCAAGTGGCAATACAGCGCCGTACCAATCTCTGGTGGTATAGTGACTGGCGTACGAACGCCTCGAAAAGGTGGCCGAGCAGGCGTTTCAGCCGGCATGCAAGAGGCGATCGATCGTGAGGCTAACGATCCTGCAAACGTCGAGCGTCGGAAGGAGGGTATGCACAGACAACTTCTCCGTACGCACATCTGCCCAGAGTACCAGAGATGTAAGAATAGTTCGGGCGACGAGAAGTTCAACTGGTGCTATATACTAGGCCAGAAGCACTACAAGATCAAATCTCACCATATAGAGAAGTGGGCGAAGGCTATTATGACTGGACAGGCTGGCGTTGACAATATGGAACCACCTAAAGAACTGCTTGGTGAGATTCTTCACGACCAGTTTATAGAGGATCAGAAACGCCAGGGCAAGAGAAGTAAGAATATCGTGGAGGTTGATGATAACCAGGAGACGACAGTGATGACGGAAGAGAAGGCTGAAAATGCCGCACTTCCATCATCAGGGTCAAGATCTGGCCTAACCAACGCCAACAGCAACGCCATCGTCAATATATACGGCAACGCGGGGGCGCCAGATCGTCATCTTCAATATCCTAACCCATACGTACAGCTGCCGCCGCCGGCGCCGCCGCCGCCGGCATATTGGCCATATGCGAACATCTCACAGTATTCGTTGCCAACTCTTCCGCCATTGAACCTTCCAAGCACTCGTCAACCAAGTATCGCACTCCCGATTCGTTCGTCCTCGCCAGTGGTACCGGATTCGCCTCGAAAAGCTCTAGATCAAGTGGCCAGCTTCATCAAGTGGTTTATATCCGTCCGCGGCAAGCGATATAACGTCGACGAAGGGTTCAGAAAGAAGCTACAGAAACTGCGATCAGTAGACAGTAGCTTGCGGGCAATTCGCAAGTTACCAGATATTTGGTTTACTGAACAGGGTTTTACTCAAGATCTTACCGAAGATGTCAGGAACTCGATCAAATCCTTCATAGACAACAGCGCCTACTACGGAGGGCAGTCTGACGCCCTCTCCGACGTGGTATCTCACTCTGAACTTCATTCAAACCATCGAGAGTCAGAAGGAGATGTTTATACAAGAATATACGCTGGATTGCCAGGAGGGACGGCGGCGGCGCCAGTTGAAAACTCTGCGGCGCTAGTTTCAGGCGAGTTGGGGTCATCCCGACATATCGACGCCCTAGTGCCACGTCAATCCATCGAGCAAGAGATCCGTGGTACGCCAGTTGAAGTTGGTCGACGTGGTGAGTGTATATAGAGCTGTTTACTGTCGAATATGGCTAACTTTGTAGGCGTTTCGGAACTCTTTGGTTTCGTTTCGTCACCACTGCTGTCAGCGTCGCAGATGCTGCCCACGCAGTTACAGATCGAACAAGACGAAATCGAGCAAGGCGATGAGGACAATCAGATTGAAATCTCGAGTGATACGTCGTCAACAGAGACGTATTACTCGGAGGAGGATAACGAAGAAGAGTGATACAGCAAGAGTGGTGTGAAGTTTGACTGTATGCGCGATTTTTTTGCATGACGTGTTCAACCACGGAAAAGTCTACCCATAGCCGTAGATTCAACACTGCCGCTCTATACGTATAAAAGCAATAGAATTACTGTTATTTTGGATCTGCAAACAATACACTTCGGTCCATCCCGATACTGGTTAGGGGCAGTTGAAGTCTCTGACTATGGTTGAAGTCTCTGATCGTGATGACGTGTCATCATCACAAATCATCGTCACAAGCATCAACAACGCGTTTCAGCCGTTATACAGGCAAAATTGATATGTATACGTAGCTACCGACGAAAACAATGGACGACGGTATATTTTTTGTGTTCTGGTGCGCTTGTGGCTAACCTTTTGGCAATCTTGTTGGCTACAATCATGGATTTGATGATTGACCATCATATGACGACACGATTAAGATCTATTGCGCGCGAACGCACGATGAAAATTTGGATTGCTTGCTGATGTTCAATATTGGCAGCAAATCCTCCCTTTTATAGTTCGATATCGTCAAATATATGCTCTGTCCCATCAAAGTTGACGAACGAATGGCGGAAATGGCCCTCGATCTGGGGTAGACGATACCCAATCTCCATAGCGCAGTCACGTAGATATTCCATGAAATCCCGAGTGTCATTCTCATCGTTGTTCCACTTCGAATACGTCTTCCTGATGTATCGCTTTAGATCGCCGAAGTACTCTTCGATGGGGTTGAAGTCTGGTGAATACGGAGGCAGAAACTCGAGATGGACACCTGATACCCGGCATAAACCCTCGATTTCAGGTATACGATGGCAGGAGAGGTTATCCATAACGATGACAGAGTTTGGCTCTGGAAAACGCCCACATTTCGGGATAAGGCACTCCTGTAGCCAACGAAAGAACCCATCGCCGTCAGTCGTACCATAATACGTAGTCAAGTGTAGGATACCGCTCAACGTGAGGGCTGGCAGGATCTGTACGCGAGAGTTCTGAAACCGATCAATCTCTGCAGTTCGAAACGCAGCAAGCCCTTTCGGCGCCCATCCAGTCCTCCGTATCCCAGTATCCTTATTGACGCCGGATTCGTCGACGAATACCAGCTGGTCGGGGCGATATCGTCGTATACGGTACAAGTACTCGTATCGTAGTTCGTCACTTCGCTGAGCAGCAATAATCTTGGACTTCTTGTTCGTCCAGCCAGCTGAGTTTAACTGTCGACTGATTGCAGAACGACTGATCTGGATCTCGAAGGCTTCAAATAGGAAATCTTGCATCTCTTCAAGAGATAGATCGCTGCGGTACTGCAGTAGTTCAAGAAGCTCTGTACGATGCCATATTTCCATCTTTTGTCGACTCTGGCGGCACCTCTTATATCTCTGCACTTCGCCAGTGATATTACGTCGTGATCTATGTCGTCGAATCGTTCGTTCGGTACAGCCAACGATACTTGCCAGCTCGTGGGTCTTTTGGTCTTCGAATGGCAGTATCATCGCGATCGTCGATAGCTGTAGATTCGATATTCTGGGCGCCATTGTATCGTCGTCGTCGCCCGGCGTCTTTCTCGATGTATCTGATATAATAAACCACGGACATGTACTGACCAGCGGCAAACTGTAAGTAACAGGGCACAATCTATACAGCAGTAGACTCTTGCTCAATATCGTGAACAAGCTGAGCTATCAGGAGAGTCATTAATCCTGTTGACTGCCAAAGCATTTGCTCTGAAGAACCGTATCAAGCCCCTTGGTATGCTTATATATTACTCAGAGCCATACAAACCGTATGCTGAGTAGATATATAAAGTCATACAGCAGGTCTCTTCTTCTGTTCCTCAGCAAATGTCATCTTGATCTCTCATGACGAAAATAGACCTTTTGTTGGTCGAATGGTATGGGGATGAGGTGACTAGCTGGGTTGGCAATGCCTCGATGGGTAGATTGACTGCTACGGAAGCATGAAATACACACCTTATGTCTCTATCGTGTAGTTATACGTTTGAATACTACTGGGACTATAGTGATTGACGGCAATTGAGGTGTTGGTGATGACTTTGACGCGTTTTGCGTGCGATGCAGAGAAATGCGCGTCACAGCGTAAAATTGGCTTTTTTTCATGTTTTTGCATAAGCGGGGAAAAAAAAGGGGGGCGGACGCTGTCAACGCAACGGAGTGTAACGAGATCTCGCTACAGTATTGAAGTCCAGAGGCTGACGGAAAAGGTCAAGGAAACTGACGGCGCGTGGACTCTTCGCCAATGGATTGGCCATACGCAGCTTATCTCCCCACGAGGCGTTCTGCGGCAATATTTCAATCTTGCTTTGGCCGTCGCTTTCCTACGGGAATCGAGACGCCAGGCTACTCAATTGTCTCCGGACGAAATTGAGTCAATATGGTCTCTTGTTCAAGGAGTACTATCAGAGACGTCAATTATCAGTAAAGTCCATCGCAACGCCGAGGGATTTGTTTCAATCACACTTTGGCGCATGGTCAAAGACGGTGATGCAGACGAATCAGCCCAGTTTGAAGTATGGCTCCCTGGAGATAAACGAAGAAATCAGAAGACACCTGTCATCCTTTCACACCAACAGTTTGCTCGACGCTGGGTCCTGCTCGGACAGGCACGGGACTACCAATATCAAGTCCAGGAGGCACAACCAACTACAGCGACACATGTTAGGTATGAGCTCTCTTCAAGCGACACCGACGGCACGAGAAACGAAACAGATGGGACATCTCGAAACACCGCCATATACTTCGATACAGGGAAACTGTTCCAGGCGAATGAGATACGGTCGGAAATCCGCTCGCGCCACATGACCTACAGGAAAGACGCTGGAGCTTTCCATAGATTGGATGTCGACCCGGATGAGATGCACGTAGCATTCTCGTTTTACGACTATTCGAAGGATTCGCAGCACACCTCTTCCATGCTGAACCCCGTGGGGGAAGAGTATCATCAGGAGAGCGATGCTGAAACCTCCACACCTGCCGCGATTGCAGTCGCAATTGAAGCGTTTCGCAGTTGGGAGCGTTTCTATCAGCAAGGTCTAGCCCATACCCGTGGAAATGAACTGGAGGAAGCTCTACTTTCCCATCACAGTGCTTTGGCCATATGTGATGGCAAGACCGACCTTCCACACGCGACACATTATCGATACGTGGTGCTTGCCGAACTCGGGTATGTGCACAGAATGCTTGGACGCTTTGCAAGGGCCAGCGAGTACCTCGAGGAAGCAGTCAAGAACATGCCGTCCAACGAAAGCCGTCTCAAAGCACTTGGAGAGCTGGCGGTCGTGTATCGTCATTTAGACAGATTAAACGACGCCAAACGAACTTGCGAAGAACAGTATGAATCTGCCAAACTCATGGGGCTTGAGCTGGAAACAGAGCGTGCAATCGGTAATCTTGGCATGATGAACTACCAACTCTTCCTGCTCAACCATGACGAGGAGTACTTGGCTGTCGCCATAAAGCAGTTGGAAGAACGGGTCGACATATGCCGACGGCTGAGAGCTCCAACAGACAGTGAGGAAGATTCCCGTCGAAAGGCAGCTAAGGCTCAAAGCGCTACAGCGCATGAGGCCATCGCATTCGCCCGTCTGTCCCTCTGTTACACTATGCAGGGTCACCTCGACAAGGCGATTGGCGCAGCCTGGGATTGTCAAAAGCTGGCCATCGAGTCGGGCGATCCAAGCAAGATTGCATTCTCTAGGCTGTTCTACGGTCGAGCACTGCTCTTAGATGGACAGAAAGAAGAGGCGCTTGCTCAGTTCAATCCTTCAGACGGATATACGCCAGTCGCAGCTCTCTCGAAAGAGCCTTGCGAAGAATACCGGGGTTACATACGGGAAATGATCAATGCTGGAGCGGACTTGACTTTACGGGACAGATCTGGTTACTCAGCACTGGACTTTGCAGTCTACAGCGGCGATAGACAAACGCAGGATATTCTGATCGAGGCTCTTCAGCGACAGCTCGGTCAAGACGAAGTTGAGCAGCATCGGTTGGAATCTACGCTTCGAAAGGGCTATCGCGAACTTTTTCAGGAGATATTGCGACCGGTGCTGCTGGAAGCAGACAAACGCTCCAGCATTAAACGGCTCCGACAGGCGTATGCGAGAACTCTGGCCGCGGACGAAGAGAAAGCACACCAGTTTGACGCATTCAAATATGTGCGTTTCTCCGACTTTTCTAGGCACGGGAAGCTGCCTAAATCTAGCGAAGGCTTGACACGCCGCTTCGGGAACGACGATGATGAAGATCTTTACGTGATTTTCATGTCTTACACATGGTCCAAGAAGAAGCGCGTTGGCGAGTTCTCTCCCGACGATATGGAGAATACCAAGTATTATCAAATGATGAGCGCCTTGGAAAGTTTCCTCCTAGAACACCCGGATATGGATCCTAACACGGTTGGTATATGGCTCGTAAGTCCCCTCTCCAAACATCTTGCTTCCATGCCTGTCCCGAGCCTCACTAAGTGTCTACAGGATTGGGCCTGTATCGACCAGAACAACAGAGACATACAAGCGCGCGGTGTGGCAGCACTACCCATGTGTGTTGCACAATGTAATGCCATGATCAGTATTACCGATGATAACTACTACGAACGGGCATGGTGCTGTGTTGAAGTCATCACCATACGAGCTCTAGAAAGATCGTATCATGCCCATGGATGGTACGAATTCGAGTATGATGCACGTCAAGAGAGGAAAGTACTTCGAGATGGCAGAGTTACGGAAGCGCTAAGTGTGGTCTCCGCAAAGGTCACTATGGAGAGCGATCGTCCCAAGCTAGAGTTCCTTGAGAGGCAGGCAAAGCTCCTAGATATCTCAGCTGATGCATAAACAGTCAAGGTGATTGGAGTTGGCTCTCCCTGTGATGGTGTTATTCGGCGAGTCCAGTCCAGATGCCATGTATTTGAACATGTACTCTGGATGAGATAGGAAAGACATAAATTAGACAAGGTTAAAACAGACTGTGACTCGCCTGCGAGAAGAGATATGCCCACTGAGACGGATCATCGCGGATGCATCGCCCAGCTATATCCATTTTAACTGCATGTTCCTGAATTGCGCTAGCCACGGCAATGTCTCCATTTAATCTCCATTTGATCTGGAAGAGACGATTGTGATTGCATGGTCGGCTGACGAATGAAAGAAGGGAAGATACCCATCGACCGGCTTTTGGCCGAGGGATCAAGGAACCACATATTTACCAGTTGGCTTAGCTGCTGCCTAGCAGGCACCCAGCTTTGCGACCCCGCACCATGAGCAATTTGTTGTACTGGCAACTCTTCATAACGTCCACAGCAGTGAGCAGCCTTCTCAAAGTCGAATCTCATATTCTCTAAACCTTCTTTTACAATGTGTGAAAACGCGGAAGATGTCGCCAAGAAGGCGTTAGATGGACAACGTGATGGGAATAACCTCTCAACTTGGGACAACATCGCCAGCTACTGGGACCAGTCACTTGGTAATGGCAACGATATGTACCAAGAATGCCTCTTACCGACTATAAAGGAGCTTGGGGCCCCTCAAAAGGGAGAGCGTGCACTTGACCTGGGTACTGGTAGCGCGGTAATTGCTGCAGTCTTGGCAACTTCAGGCGCTCACGTCACGGCGGTTGATGGCTCGAAGGTGATGCTTGAGAAGGCCGAAATTCGGGCAAAGGATGCAAAGCTAGACATGACGTTTGAGGTAGTTGATCTACTAGACACTGAAAGTCTCGACGATTTCAGCCAGCGCCATCCCAGGTGGGCAGTTCGTATCGGTCTCTTAAGAATCATTGGTTCTAACAGTTGCTCTTCAGATTTGACTTGATCACATGCAGCATGACTTTGAAGGAGTTGCCGGATCTTGAACCCCTTGCGGCAGCACTTCCGAAGCTGCTAGCACCACGTGGCAGGTAAGACCAGAGCGCTTCACATAGTTAGTTGCATAGCTAATTTCACAAGGATCGTGATTGTCAACTTACATCCGGCTTTCTCGAAGCCTGCTGGTCATCGTGCCATGGAGGTTTTAGAAAATGAGAAAACCGGAAAACAAGAATTCCATAGGCACATCAAAGTCTCTAAGTATCTTAACGTCGCACCGGTCAAGAGCGAGGCGCTGAGGGGACAACCCTATCCGTTGGTATGTGTCTCCAACTCACTCCATGCCGCCAAACCTAACAGACTAGAACTTGTATCATCGACCGTTTTGGTCTCTCTTGGACCCATTCTTTCGAAACGGACTTCTAATGGACGCCATGAGAGAGCCTGGTTTCACGGGATCAGGTGACCCGTCTCAACTGCAATCGTATCACAACTTTGGACAGTTCCCAATGCTCTTAGCATTTCGATTACGGCAACTCCATACCTAGTAAAGACGTGAGCATATAGACATGCTCGGAATGAGGGCATTTGGGAAAGGAGAGGCAAGACAGTGTAACTGTTCTGTGGCTATGTACGAGATCATGTGTCCATTGATATTTGCATTGTTAGACTTTACCACGTAGCATTTCTCAACGCCGCATGTCTCGAAGATAACAATTGCTGAGATTTTGAACTTTATACACTGTAATTGCCTTCCCTCTCTTCCTCCTCTGACTCAACATGCACGCTGCCTACCTTTTGTGGCGTAGACTGTGCTGCACTGCTCAACTCATCTACAGCATCCAGAGATGCATCGTTACCACCATGCTCTCCAGCCGGTGACGTTCCTCTCACCTGTAGCCTCATTCTAGAATACCAAGCCTTCAATCTGCTGTCGGGTACCATTATTGTCTACACAAAGCTTACACAATAGAAAGCTGATTGAAGAACGACTTTCCAAAAAACCTTTCACCTGTATTAGTAACTATTATGGCCTAGATAGTTGCTGCTGCATTTGTCCATTCCAGTATTCCACCCTCGCCAAACGCAAAATCATTCTCGATTTGCGAGAAGAGAAACTGATTAGCCTCTTCAGTAGACCACGACCAGGGCGTGTCCGACGCGAGCAAAGTATCAAGTCCATCCATATCGCCACCAGATTCATGTCTTGAAGAGCCTCCTGTGTCTAAAGTCCGGTCGTCTTGGCGGCTGCCCACTTGACTCTTGTCTGCAGCACTAGCCACCCCTGAGTCATCCTGCATCTGGAGTCTCGCCGCCGTAGACCGATCCAGGTACTTGAAAAATAGCTGTAGCACCCAATTTCTGACCTCCCATGTCTTCTGCAGTTCCTGTAAGCCCAGAAGACACAACTTAGCTCTGTGCTCGAGAATAGCGCGACCTGTGCCCCGGGACGTTCGAAGGTTGACCGTGTGTATGCAAAGGGTATTGAAGAGGTTCGTAATAACGTGAATTTGACCATGTCGCAAGTTCCCTTCAAGAAGCATATCCTCGATGACCCTTGAGTTGCGGGCAGCAGCTTGAAGAGCGACTTGTCCGTCAACCTCTCGGCCTTCTTCTGCACTGCCGATACAGCCTGACCTATACAGGAGGATGAGGAGGTTGTTGTATGCAAGATGTAGCATATTGCAGTGAAACCCCGGTGGATCTCCGATGTCGTCTGTACTACCGCGCATTGCGATAGGTAAACTCCGCCTCCAGCGAACAAGATCGTCCTTCATCTGTGAACGGTCATTCGTGCTGAGCGACTTGCTGGGGAGGTATCCACAGTGCACAATCTTTCCTAGAACTCTAGAGAGTTGAGCCATTCCCATAACATATGCAGTATACTCTTGTGCCTGGAGTGCTGTTAATGACAGACTGAAGGCATGTTCGAAGTCCGGTTCGCTCAGGGGCTCGATATCGCAGTCTTCGTCCCTTATTCGGTTTGGGAGGCCTAGAGCAGCAGCACATTGCCGTTCCCTGACGTAAATCGACCACCACAGCCGCCGCCGAAGCTTTTCCGTGTTTGCATCTGATGATTTCGTAGGTGCCGATCGATGCAAAGCTTTCGTCTGGGCAAGACTGATGGCAGCACCGAGCCAATGACGCGCATCTTTCTCAAGAAGAGCGCCGGCGCGCCAGAAACTCAAGAGAAATAAGGACTGAGTGACAGTAAACTTCTTTGGCTCAAAGTCTACGTCGTAGATATCCTTTGCCCTATTGTAGAACGCATATTTGGCCATATGACGGCTTCCAAGACCAAGTGCCGGCAAGTCATCCTCTTCGCAGTGGATAACCGCGATGAAGAGCATGGCCTGGAGAAGAAGGGGAGATAGAGTTTCCCTCTCATGCTGGTTCCATACATCCTGTTCATCTACAATTGGGAAGCAGGGGTGGAACCACTTGAAGTATGCTCGAAGCAACGCCTCCACAGCCAGTTTTGACGGAAACGAAAAGACGCCTTCAGCTTTGAGGGACCGTATACGAGCCTGTCTTCTCTCGACTTCCCAAGGCGGAATCATGTTCTCGGCCCTAACAGCATTCGGCACCGAGTGGAGAAATCTCAAGTTTTCAGGCGGCGAGACACCGGCTCCTGCTGGGGTGGGATATCCATGGGTGACGTACCGTATGGACGTCGACTCTCCCAAGAAGACCGATGTCTCTTCTTCTTGCCTTACATCAATTGTGTCCGGGAGCTCTATTTGCTGTTCGGGCTCACGCACCGTGATGGTACTGTCAGCTTCGAAGACTTCGAAAGAATCTTCCTGGTCGCGGTTCTGTGAAAGTGCAGCAAGCACTTGAGATGCAGCGACATGCTCGTCCGCGTCATCAATCGTGGAACCGTTGCCGAGAGTGTCGTCGACGAAAGCCGGCGATGGGCTTGTCTGCGCAGAAGAGGCATTTGTATCCGGCCCGGGACGCCGCCGGGAGGGCCGCGGATGTTTGCCGCGCCGTGACACTCGGAGCTCACACGGCACATTTGCGGCGGCGCAATTCCGACACGGTACTCTCTCGGTTACATCGCACTTGACCCGTCTGGCATTGCAGGCGAGACAAGCTTGCCGAGCCCTCTTACGTGGGGTTGGAGCCATTGCCGACGCACCTCATTACCGATCGCACCACCCGAAGTTGTGAAAACGACAGTTACCGAGGAATTGCGTCCTAACAGAAACGCCTGAAGGGTTGATTCAAGACATCAAACTATCTGGAATTCCCGATCGATGTGAATTTGGCTGGTGTGAAGGTGCCATGTAGCCGACAGAAGCCCCGCTGGTGTCGGGGCGTGGGAAATAACGCGGCCTGAGCATGACATCACCAAAAGCGCCATCTCGGTTATATAAGTATGTAGCCGAGGCACTACCGTAGTTCCGACTACGGTGACCCGATGATCCTTGGGGCGATGCAGCTTCAGCTTCACGAGGCAATGGACATGCGATTTCAATCAGCTTCAGTAGACCCGGCTTTCTCAGTTATCTGAATGATCTTATATTCGTACATTTATTTCTTCCGCGGCTATCACTCATTTCCCCGCAAGCATGTTTACCCGACAATGGGCGAAGGTGGCCAAGGCGCCCCGGCAAGCACCGCCATTTGGCAATGTCCGCATGAGGTTTTCAACGTCGAGCGCGAACCAAAGGTCATATGAGAAAGATACTATTGCAAACTTGAGAATAGATGGGAATACGAGAGTTATATATCAAGGTAGAGACCCATTGAGCGTGAAGAGAGAACCTATCCGCCGAATGCTAACGCCTGGCTCAGGGTTTACGGGAAGAGCTGTGAGTTGGTTTCACGTTTCTTGTCCTATTTGACACCATGACCTGACACGGTCAAGGCCACATTAAATGCCAAAGACACAATAGAATATGGCACGAACATTGTCGGTGGCGTCTCGCCTGGAAAGGGGGGAAAAGATCATCTAGGATTGCCTGTGTTTGATACAGCTAAAGAGGTAAGCTACTCAATGCCCGCCAATGGCTGTTCGTTCATGACAACTTATCTCTCAGGCTATGGACAAAGTGAAACCTCATGCAAGTGCCGTGTTTGTTCCTGCGCAGTTTGCAGCAGGTGCCATCACTGAGGCAATCGAGGCTGAAATACCCCTCGTCGTATCCGTCGCGGAGCACGTACCCGTCCACGACATGGCTCGAGTTCAGGAGATTCTGCGGACGCAAACAAAGACTCGCTTAGTTGGTCCTAATTGTCCAGGAATCATCGCTCCAAACCAGTGTCGTATCGGTATTATGCCATACAAGCAGTACTCCAAAGGAATAGTCGGAATCGTTTCGAAGAGCGGTACTCTGAGTTACGAAGCTGTAGGCGCGACAACGAAGGCAGGGCTGGGACAGAGCATCGTCGTAGGAATGGGAGGAGACATGATGCCGGGGACGACGTTGCTAGACGGGCTGAGATTGTTCTTCGAGCACGAAGAGACGAAGGGCATTATCGTCATCGGGGAAATTGGCGGCGAAGCCGAGCTTAGAGCAGCGGAGGCCATCAAGGAGTATAGGAGGAAATCACGTAATCCGAAGCCAATCATCGCCATGGTTGCGGGAAGAACAGCTCTACAGGGCAAGACGATGGGGCATGCAGGAGCTCTGTTGACGCCAAGGGATGTGCCGGCTGACATCAAGGCAAAAGCACTGGCAGAAGCTGGGGCTCTTGTAGTTCCGCACCCAGGAGTCATGGGAGATGAGATGAAGAAACTTTTAAAGCTTTAGAAATCGACCTAGAATGGCTCACACTAGGACCGGCTTTACAATGTGACGTTCACTTTCTAATAACCGTCACCGCGTAACTTGAACATGATGTCCTCCGAGACTCTCACCGAAGCCCCAGCAGCGACTCGGTACATGGCAGAACTACGCAACTAGCTGGGGTTTACGCCGCAACGAGCGCTCTTCCACAGCAACCCGTTGGAGCTTCTCGATGCAATACGGCTCCCAGTGCCATCCTGGAAGCGGGCATACGTGGACGCACCACCACAGTTATATCCATCATAGAGAGAGCACCCCCCTGCACTCTTGGCACCACTGCCCTTCCAGCCATTGGCGACGTTAAAGCTTCCACTGTTGCCTGGCATGTTTAGTGAGAAGCAGTCAGGCGCAGTCCCTCATTGACATTTTCGCCAGCTAGAGGGGAACGGGTCCACCAAGATGCCGTTTCGCTAGTGTAGACAGAGCAGCCTGAGTTGGAGTAGAAGTTGACTTGAACAGCTTTTCCGGATTCGTAACTGGCAGATGCAGGATATCTTGGCAAGCGTGAGTAAGTAGGTGACTACCTAGGTCAAAATTGGGCCCAGCCAGCGATTGCGCTTATTCATCGTCAAGCAACACGTCAACCAGGCCCATGAATGCTGAGCGAATTTGGTGAAGCAAGAAGACTTAGTTCTGCATGTTGCATTTGCAAGTGGCATCGGAACTCCATCGACATTTGGGGGTCAAAAAGGGGAAATGAATGATGTGGTACTATCTGAGGATGCGGATGATCTTGATTGCTACACCTGATGATGTAAAATACTATTCTGCAGGCTTTATAGACTGGTTGTCTCTGAACACATTGGTGGGATCATAATCTTCCTTGATCCATTCGAGCCTTCTAAGGTTGCTCCCATAATAAAGCTTTGGCGCTTCGCCCCCGGATATCTGAGAGTCGGGGTAGTTTGCATACATGCCCCACTGCCCACTCTGAAGTCCGCTTGTAATGCTCTGCCTGAATCCCTGCAGGAGTGCAAAACCAGTCGATGGATAAGTCTGGCTTTGAGAGACACTGTCCTTGAGCTGAAAGAGAAGCATTTTGTCTCTGTGAGCATAGGCTGCGTCGATCGGTTTCGAAATGGCGGAGAGGTCGCCTCCGTGAAGGTTCATGTGGATGTACCAGGAACGGCTGACAGAAAAGCCTGATTTATCAATCGCGTTGACCAGAGATTGGAAGTTTGCTTTTGATAAGGCTAGCGTCGTGAGGCTCGAGGCGTAGGAGTTGTCGTGCTAACCCTATCAGTGATGAATACCGTTGGTCATGGAAAATAACTGACCTCGTTGTAGCTGCCGGTAGTAATGTCAATATCAGTAACGCCAGCATAGTGCTTGATAAACTCGATCCAGCCGACTGTCTTAGAACTGGAAACCTTCACCCCCAGTTTCGTTAACAAGGGCTGGATTGCCGTCTTGAAAGCTGCATCGTCTCCGACGAAACCACCGTTAAGGTAGCACCCATCGTTGTTGAAGCTTACAGATAGGGTTAGCTCTGCTGGCATCCCTTTGGCAAATTCCTGTGCATCCAAAAGTTGTTGGGGAAGCTTCTGCGTGTCCCATACGACGTCGATGTCAAAGTATGTCATCTTCTCCGGTGCGACAAAGGTGTTTAGTTCAAGCTCGACCACGATAACCATCGACGAACCGGCGCCACGAATGCCCCAGAACAAGTTTGGTCTTTCGGTTGCGGAGCAGCGCGTGATAGTTCCATTGGCGAGAACTACAGTTGCTGCCTTGATCCAGTCCATAGCAAAGCCGTACTTCCGAGAGACCATGCCGTGACCTCCATGTAGAGCGTGACCACCGATACCGACACTGTGTTTACGTATGAGTCTACCAGTACAAAAAGCCGCGCGAAGCATAAAAACGCAGGGTGACTTACGCTGGACATGTGCCGTGAGAAATAGCTCTCTTTCCATTATTGTAAAGCTCAGTCGCGACGTGGCCCAACCTCGCTCCGGCTTGGACTTTAGCTGTACCGTCACTTGCAACGGTTACCGAATACATGCGGTCCATATTGATTACCAGGTGGCCATCCTCTCCGCCAAAGCCGGAAGAGGTGTAGCTATGCCCGCCGCTCTTCGCATTGACATGGACTCCATACTTGGCCCCACAGGATACCGCCGAAGATACTTGCGCAACTGTTGTAGGGACAGCAACAAGAATAGGCTTGACGGGAATGCGAAGATTGTAAGGGGTGAGGGAGGAGCCAATTGGGACGGAAGCAGTCTGAAGACAGGCTGTCAGATCCTCTAACGTTGTGGCGGCGATCGCAAGGGATGCGTGGAGGACGAAGAACCGTGATAAGACGTGCATTTTCACCATAGGTTGCCAGTTAAATGAACCGCCTGCCTAGGATGCGTTCAGTGTTGAAAAGTCTAGAGAAATTTCAAAAGGAAAGCCTTTTATGGTAACTGGTTGCAACTCCACAGATGCGGTATGCGAGCTGGCCGACCTTCTGATATTTGCATTAGGTCAGTCAGTCTCATAGACGTCGGGCAAAAGATTTTCTCCGTCACCACCACCAACCACAAGTATCAGCCGATGGGTGCAGTGGCTTTGAACCACTGTCAGCATTGTTTTCGTCTGTAGCCTACTCTTCCCAGCACAGCTGAACCTGCGGAGAACAATCCTTCCGCTCTTTCACTTACCAGCATATTGACTACCCCTGCACGTCAGCTCGTGTATGCGTGTCTCACCATCCATTTACCCGGCTAAGGTGCCAACTTGCCCCACACTTACTTCTGCATTACTGGGCTTTTGCCCAAGTACTCGATGGGATTATGCCATTTTGCGGTAGGTGGCGTTACCTCATTGATGTGCAGATAGAATACTAACAGTTCCCCTCTCATTGAATTGTCGAGGACTGTTGCAATTGATCCCGAAACATATATCAACATTCGCATGCTTAGATGCTTTGCTTTTAGACATTTCAGCTCGAGAGGCAACGTGGTAGAGCAACAGTAGGACAGCGATTTGTTCAATGTTTTGTTGATGGTATGTCAGAAACCTTTCTTATGAACGTAACACTCAATTTCTCAATCTTTGCCCATTTTTCCTAGTTAATGTAGCTGTCTTCTCTTTCAGCTCGGAGATCTTCCCAAAGGGCCTCGATAGCAGCAACAACGGTGCCTGGGAGTGGGCCGTTTCCAATTGCCTTGATGTTACTATTGCCAAAGTCAGAAATAGGTCATGAAAGCCTCCGGATCCGCAGACGTCGAAGCATACCTCTCAATTTGAGATTCCTTGCTGGCCCCCAAGATGATACCGTCACCTTGCCCAAGTGCCGAATGATAATAGGCCCACCGCAATGCCGCTTCGATAGACGTGATTCCAACGTCTCTGATAGCGGCATTCAGCTTCCGCTGGGCATTATGTAGCGACTCTTTGTCCCACAAGGCTGACATGTACTTGGCAATTCGGCCATCGCCACTGAATCGCGTGCCTTCCGTAGAGCCAGATGTAAGGCTTCCAGAGAGAAATCCTGCGGCAATGACTCTGAAAGCGTTGAAGACGATGCCATGCTCACGAAGAATGGGAAGCAAATGCTTTTCCATGCCTCGGCTGATGAGCGAGTACTCGCCTTGGTAGACTGTAGGTTTTACGAACCCATGCTTATCGCACACCTCGATGAAGGCAGTGAGTTGACCGGCAGTGAAGTTTGACACTCCAAGCTACATTTAGGGTAGAAACTGTTAGTTGAATTCCAAATGTGGCAATGGATCTTCATATCGAGGTCCATAGGTAATTTAACTTACCTGAGCAAACTTTCCCTGCTTGTGAAGTTCATCAAGCGTTGACGCCTGCTCTTCAATGGGCGTTTGGGAATCGGGGAAATGAATATGAAGAGTATTGATCTGCGATCGATGTCAGACCCTTGACTTCAAATCGCAGGCTGATAGCATTGACAGTCTTCTTTTTCATACCTTTGGAATATTCAATCGCCGAAGGCTGTCGCTGACACTCTGTTCGATGTTTTGTTTCGACAGCTCCCCTTTGTGATCAGCTGACATTGCAAGAATCTTGGTATCGACGTGAAAGCCTTGCTGAGTAGCCTTGGTTTCCCCAATCAATTCTTCCGATCTACCCTGAGCCTCGGCCGGGTACCGGCCTGCCGTATCTAGCACATGGACATAGTGTTCTTTCAGCAGACCCAGACACGACTGCACCTGCTCGACATTGGTAAATTTGTCACCAAAGCTTGCAGTTCCGAAGATTAGCTGCGGATTTGATGCTGGAGACATCGTTATGGATGGCTCTCTATTGCTGATTGGGAGTCTAATGAAGAAGCAGTACGACCGAAACTGGCGGAGGATGTTTGGGGACCATGTCAGACATATGTATCAATTATGCCGCCAGCTGTGCACGCAGCTTATGTAACGTCGGGCCGAAGTTCGCAATTGTTCCAACTCGCCTTGTCACGTTTTGGGTAAGAGTGCCTCATAGGGCTTATGGCTGTGGATAATGACGTATTCAGATTCAAGTAAGAACTAAAAAGGTCAAAGATAGGTCCACGTTCCACGACGATCCACACGAAGATACCCGTATGCTACCTTGTCAGACAAAGCTCAATGTGATTTCTAATACCGCTACCATCGCATGATTAGGCGGCATGAAGGAGTGTTTCGAAATCCTTCAGAGCCCGATTTGGTAAGTCGTATCGGCTGGTTGTCCACGACGTGAGGTCAAGTCCTTGACTGTGCCCAACTGCTTTCCCGCACTGCTCGATTGCAGGACGAAGACCAGGACCTTGACAAGAGGGGAGATCGGGCGAGGCAGAATGATAATCTCGGCGGTGAGTATCTTGACGTATAGTCACGGTCGGTATTGCTTCATTGAGACTTTTCTTCCACCTGAAGGTTTGTTGTAGATATGCGTTTCGTCTAGATGCATTTGATCGTTCCATTCCTAGACATGCAGCGGCATGTCTGACCAAGGCAGGATCTCAACCTCCGATATGTGATCGAGGCTATCTACAATCATCGAAAACTCCCACTTCGGAGGCTTGCTTTCCACTGCCTGTACTGAAAGACGGACGCCATACTCAGTCCTTGGAATACGGGCCAAGGCAGAATGTTGTCTGGGAATTGGCGACCTCCTCAAAGCGTGAAACATTTCCTTGTGACTCATGTCTCTTCCATGGAGTCTTAAATTAATGAGATCCAGCGGCATCTGATAAGGGCCATACTCGACAAGTGTGTACGTGAGGTAGTCGTGGTCAAGGGGACCGAAGAACACAAACATGAACTCCATGATTTGAGGCGGAATGTCATCGATAGGATCCTCAACCTTCACTTCGATGAGCATGGATCCACGTGGACCATCGCGCCCAGTCATGAATACTCCAGTCTCATCGTCCCAGTCAGCCCAAGGCCAACATCGGATAACCCTGACTCCCGGCGGCCAATAAAATCGTAGTTCCCTGTACCGATCCAGAGGGCTCCACATGGAAAGATCATTGAGAATGTAGGCGTTGGGGCAGTATCGATCAACGTCCAGACGCTTGGTCCGCTTGTTTATTCTGACGAGCGACAGGGGGTTTTGTCTGACGAATAGACCTGAATCGATCTTTTTCAACATGACGCCTAAGTCATCGTCAAAGAACATGTTCCGTTTTCTGGTGGATTCCCCGTGAGTGCGAGCGACGGGAAGAACGTATGAGTAATTCCCCTTATGTCGCGTCCACACCAGCTGGAGTCTGCAGGTTATTTTGATGCCAGCATTTGTGACAGTAACATCGCCCTCTGTCTGTCGTTTCAAAGGTGTGATCTTAAGCTTTGACCCGACGAGAGGATCTCTTATGGCGAATTCGCTCGGGGACTCCGCAAATATACCACAATTGATATTCTTGTGATCTTGCCACGTGCGACGGACAACGGGTACATACTCCCAGGCAAATATGGATAGGTCGTTTGTAGTTTTGATGATTTCTTGTTGAAGTCGCAGGAAAGCCCTCTTCCCCTCTCCGTACAGCATTGGCATGTTGACTCCAAAAATTCCAAGTAGGCAGTACGCCAAGTCCTCTGGTCTGGTCGTCTCTCTTTCAGATGCCCATGACATTCTTTCAGCCACACTGAAGTCGTTCAGGTCCTGAGACATAGATAGAATGTCATGGTTGGTGGATGTTATTTCTGAAAGCAACTTCGCCATGCCAGCTTTCACTCCAATGCGTAGCCAGTTACGACAAAAGAATTGGACCTCTCGTGGAGCTATCAGCTCCTGCAATGTCCAGCCGCGTTTGAACCAGCGCTGTTCTTTTAATGCCTCGTCGCCGGCGCCATCGCGAAGATCCGAAAGATAGACATAACAGACGGCGGCATCTTCGTACCATTTGTACATTATGTTGATGGCCTCGGAAAGCTCCGTACTGTTGGTCTTGTCGATACAGCAAGTGTCAACCCAAGCGTACCGGTAACCGTCAGCAGCACCGAGCTCGCATGTTTGCCTGATTTTCTGAAAACCCTTCATCTCGTTCCTTATACTAGGCTTGTCCCAATCCTGAAAGGTGACTTCTTCATCCTCCCAAGTATGCGAGAGAATAACATAAGGCTCGATGGATGCGCCAAAGCGCTCCACGATATCCATCGTTTCCGTGTCAATCAGTCTCATAGCTGGACGCTCAGTCGCCAAGGACTAAGTAGGTCAGGTGCGCTTGTCCAAAATATGAGGGAATGTATGATGGCAGCAAGGATCATTAGGTTTATAGCTGTATTTTAAATCAAGTCGGACTTTCGAGAAAATATCAGGAGAGGTCGTTCGAGGTCGTTTGGGGTCAATAAAGCTTTCCCAACGCAAATTGACGAAGCGGGGTTTCTACAAGATGCTGTTGGCGCCTGGTATGATTCGGTCTTTTACGTCGGCCAGCGCGGCAGTCTGCACACCTTCCAACGACCAATTACATATTCCATAGCTAACCCACTTTCGCATAAATGGCAGCAATTCTCTCTCCATGGGCTCCTGCTATTGTACTGCGTTACAACCGTTTTCCTTCCAACGGGGACAATCGATGCTGTTGGGTCGGACATAAATGTATTGACGATTCACCGTTCCTTCTACCAGTATTTAATGTATCCAGAGACTGCTGCCTAATGTTGCCATGACGACTGGAGATATCTATTTGCTTCGGACGCCCCTCTCTTTGCGGCACAGTCAGGTCACTCCAACATGCCACTTTGTATGTATAAAATGCCGACCTCTACAAGCAATTGTACAATTATATAAAACAAGCATCTGCGTCTTCTTGTCCAAAAATATGTATCCAAAGGTTGGCCCTGTTTTGTTATGCATCGGGACTATTGTCACGTTCATTACGACACTGGTGCACGGGATTACCCCTACCCCCATACCCTCTTTGCTCGCGACCACCGGAACATGCAAACCGCACACATGGGCCAATCCCACAACCCCTGGCCAACCTGCTGTCACAACCTCCAGGCCATGCCCAACTCCCACGACGATTCACGATATCAGAGGAGGTGATACCCAGCCCGGGGACATCAACTGTCGCTCTTTGGGTGACACTTACGAGAAAGTTGGCCCCGAAACATGTCAGGAGCTTGCAGACGACTTCGGAATCTCGCTTGAGAAGTTTCTTTTCTTGAATCCGTCTCTGGATCGCGACTGCAAGCACATACTTCCATGTGCAACGTACTGCACTGCTGGATGTGAGTAGACATGTATTGCAAGTCTTCGCGAACTACGACATGCTCAACGATTCTATCGCAGTTATCGAACCCGAAAGAGCGTGGGACGGGATTTGCGGCCCGTCGCGTCCGGGCGTCACCTGCGTCGGTACAGACGGGCAATGCTGCAACTCGGAGACTTGGAGATGTGGCGAGAGAGAGTGAGTAACTCGTGCTGCTACTCCAATTATAAGCCATCAAAGTATTTCGTCAAGATTTGCCGTGGCTAATGTATTTTCACAATATTCAGCATTGACTGTGCACCTGGTACTTGCTGTACTCTCAGCGGAAGGCATCTGCTGGGGCCATAAAGTGTACACCACAGATGGAACCTGTGGGTACGCAAATGGGAACCGCAAGTGCGCTGGCAAACAAGGAACATGTTGTAGCATCTACGGTCGCTGTGGACGAGACGATGATTTCTGCGGTGCAGGAATCTGCCAGTCAGGGGACTGCGAAAGCCAGCAACCACATCTTGATGTATTCCTCATGAGCAGCCAGGTTTGCAAGCCTTGAGAGACATCCTCGATGAGGCTTAGCCAAGATTTTCCCCAAGACTAGCCTTCCATTCCGCCAACGCAGGGCCCCAACCACCCAGTTGCAAACAGCACTCTAGTTCCTGTGTAGGCGTGGTACGAGAGGGTGGCATGAGAGATAGACCCTCTCTTGCTCTTTCGAGTAAATAGGTACCAAACATTAAGCGGTGACCGTTGACTCGCCAATCGTTAATACACATCCGGGGTTTCCAATGGAAACATTTAGATGCCAACTTCATTGCTACCTAGATTGACAAATGTGGGGCGTCGCGCGGTGCGATCACCATCCAATTCAAATGAGGGGTAATCAATGTGATCCAATAACAAGTACCCCACTATTGTGAGAAGCTTGAAGTCTGTCACGCACTCCTCGTGAAACTCAACCGACATATAAGTTTCAGCAGAAATAAGCTTAAATCAACGAGCGATCCTTCGACAAACGCTCACGGTAAAAGAGAAAAACCAATCGATGTGAATGGCTTGAGTGGGGTTGGGGGAACGTAATGCCTTCTGTGCAGCCGAGTGGCTAAACAAATATCCGGGGGGCGCTTTACTCACGATTAGAAATCCATACAGACGTCATAGAAGCCAACTATGTAACTCACACGCAAGCGACGACAGCTATATCACGATTCCAAACATCTCAGAGCTACCAGACGAAATCTTGGACCCAGCGTTTTCCTTTCACCAGACCACCCACAACAATGCCTGCCAAAATCTTCCTTACGGGAGCCACAGGCTACATCGGCGGCGACGTCCTCTACCGGTTGTACCAGAAGCACTCAGACTTTGAGTATGCACTGCTTATTCGGACAGAAGAAAAGGCAAAGAAGGTGCAAGAAAGGTTTCCTAAAGCCAGAATTGTCATCGGGGGACTTGATGATTCCGAGATTCTGGAGCGCGAGGCAGCATGGGCTGACATCGTAATCCGTGAGTTTCACCTCGTTCCGAGATCCTAGCCAGCAACTCACTAACTCAATTCCAGACACTGCCGATTCGTCGGATCACTCAGGCGCGGCGGAGGCTATCGCAAAAGGCCTTGTGTCTGACCACTCGCCATCCAGGCCTGGGTTCTGGCTGCACACGGGCGGCACGGGTATCCTCACCTATTTCGACTCCGAAGTCAAGAAGACGTATGGAGAGCACGACGACAAGGTCTTCAACGACTATGATGGTGTCGATGAGGTCGTTAACCTGCCAGCCGCCGCTTTCCACCGCAATGTGGACGAGATCGTCCTCAACACCGGCATCAAACACGCCGACTCCGTCAAGACTGCCATTGTCTGCCCGCCCACTATTTACGGCGAGGGGCGAGGCCCAGTGTCGGGGCGTGGTCGTCAAGTGTACGAGCTAGCTACTTTCGTGCTCAAAGAGGGATACAGCCCCCGCATCGGCAAGGGACTTGCGCGGTGGAACAACGTCCACGTCCACGACCTCAGCGTAGTGTTCGAGTTGCTGGTTGAGGCCGCGCTCGACCCATCTCGCAAGGATGACAAGGAGATTTGGGGAGCACACGGTTACTTCTTCACTGAGAATGGCGAGCACGTCTGGGGTGATCTGGCAACGCTGGTTGGAAAGGAAGCCCACAAGCAGGGTTTCATCAAGGGGGGAGAGCCGGAGGTGCGGGGTCTGTCTTACGACGAGGCAGTTAAGTCATCTGCTGGGTTTGAGGCAGCGAGCTGGGGTCTGAACTCTCGAGCTGCCGCCATCCGAGCTAAGAAGGTTCTTGGATGGAAGCCACAGGAAAAGAGTCTCCAAGATGAAGTTCCTACTATTGTCAAGTCCGAGGCGACTAGGCTGAAGCTATAGACGGGGAAGTGATGGGGTATGATTATTACTCATAGTATCGGCATATTTTCTAACTTTTGCTTCACGTTCGAATGTTTCCATTGCGATCGGCGAGTCCCATCTAAGAGCCGAACCTCACAGAAGTTGAATGACAAGCCCTCTTGATGACATGATTGTGTTCCCGAGTCTCATTTGCTTTTCTCATTGCCATCAATGAGTACCTGACATGATAGGTTTTTATGGCAAGAGTCTGGCGCTTGAAACCGAGACATGCTCGGAGTAATTCTGTCGAAGTACGGCTGGATTCGAGTTATGATTGGCCACGAGTAAAGCCGTCGTGTAATGAATAAAGCGGTGTGTTGGTGCCATGCAGGATCTATCCATGGATCAGAGAATGGGGTGGCTGAGGTCAGCATCCAACATGCCAGGTACAGCCCCCGCGTAGTTATTAGGCACACATGCTTTCATGTCTTCTCCTCACGCCCAGTTATTCATTCGCCAACTTCCCAAAGACGGAGTGATTGTGGCGGCTGTGATCCACATGAGTTTCTAACCATGGCAAACGAATTCAACGCGTCCTACTTCTGTTTTACCCAGGCCCGCTGCAGACTTTGCCAGTTCCCTGTGCGCAGAGGCGACGTAATTATAGCAGGTGCGTGGCTAGCTGCTGTACTGAGCTCGAATGCTAATGGTGAAATACTTACCTAGCTGTCGAAGAAGGCTTCGCTACCGAGTTCAAACTTCCACACTTCGGAGACTTCTGGGACCGAGGGCTTCACATCAAATTTCACATTTGCTTCCTCAAGAAATGTAGAGTTCGTGAAGAAGCGACCGTGTGCTATCATGTTGATTGCTATCGTGACCGCTTGTACTCAATTACGCCGATATTCCTGGCCGGAACTGAGTTCTCCTTTACCCCTTTTCCCGAGGAGGAACGGCGACGGGCTGAATTCAACCGGCAGATTCTGGCTTGCAAATTGGAGCAGATGGACTTTGGGGCCCAACGTCTTCCATACGAGTTGTGGTTGATTGTTGCCCGGCATCTAGTCCGGTGGTGCGCTCTCCATATGTTGGAGTGCCAGGTGCGTACAGCTGATAAAGTTGGCGATTCTGTCCTTGACTTGAATCAATCTGTGTTCGCATCCTACATAAAGATCGATGGTCGATACTACATCAAGAGACTGCAAAACACACCCGATTCAAGAAGTGGCAGTGGATGCTGCCTTCTACTACCGACTCGAAACTCAAGAGAGAAGGACACGAATATTCTCGTCGCAGAGGATCATATCGGAATTCGTCGACTGGCTTTTGTTTCAACAAGAAATCTGGAGGAATGGTGTCGCAACCAATCTAGTGTGCCCGGCGCCTGGTGGAAGAACATTTCTCAGGGAGTTATGCCCTCTGCCATCACCATCAACGGTGATGTTCGTATGCACTATGAATTTTCCAGTCACATACTAACCGATCACAGGGCCTAAAGGTGAGAAGTATCCAGAGCAGCCAAATGCAAGACTTGGCTTTGGTCGGCTGGCCGACCCCTCTGTCATCACCTCCACTCGTCGTCAAACTAGCGACATTGGAACCACCCCGTGATCCTCCAGATGGGCTTCGCATGGACTTCTTCGATTGCAACGCACCTGACACGATCGGATACTCGGTGGCGCTCAAGGGACGCTCAATTGCTGGGGTCGTTGCCCACAAAAAAGGTGAAGCAGACGTCCGAAGCGTGTACGAGAAAACCTGTCCCACGGACTGCTACTGGCAGTTTATGCCTATAAATGAAGGGGAGTATCTCACCGATATTTGCAGGCTAACCACGCCGCCTTTTGCAACGAGACAGGACGTTACTGGAATGACTGTGAGGGAAATGCCCTTTCTTTACCACTAAAGCTGACCAGTTCATTCTAGTTCACAACCAATCGTGACCGGACTGTCTTCTTCGGAGTCTACGGACTAAACGATGGGAAATATAAACGCATTTGGAAACTCTCAAATAACCCGTGTCGGCTATATTACAATGATCGTGACGGCTTCTTCGACCGAAGCTTTGTCGATTTCGTCGGTGTTGAACAGACCAGCGGCGATCTGGCCAAGCTCAGCCAAGAGAATCTACCTGCTCCTGTAGTTTCTATCTCGAATTTTCCACGAACTATCCCAAACACACTTCGGTTTTACTCCTCATGCTCTATGCGGCACTTGACTGAGGTTCAAACTTGTGGCTTTGGGACTGGCTCTCATCAAGAAATCTTAGGAATGCTTCTTCGCTATGCAGACGGCCACCGCGAATGTGTCGGCTTTTTCCGTCACGACATGATTCTAGAGAGGATTTCGGTTGGAGAGACGGACAGTTTATATCTCTGTGTCAAACAGACCGAGAAAACGATCCCTATGCATATGTTGCGGTGGTGACATGTCAGGCACCAGAAGATCAAGCAACAGCTCGCTGGCTTCAGGTCACTCAATCTGGCATCTTGGAATGGTGGCACTCCGCTGAGGGCGCTGCTTTGTATTATAGCGGTCAACGTCTCGGTGTAGTATACTAAAGTAGCATGAAAGCGGAAGCATTGCTTTCCAATGCTGAACAGGTAAAACGCCCTACCTTTAGTCGATATTGATCTTCAAACGAAATGCCCGAATTAGAATCCCCGCTGCCTTTCCAGAGGATTGACACGTGTCGTGGCCATTGTTGTCCCGCCGCAACACTAGGACCCAGTTTTCCACCTCCCAGCCAGTATTAACGATCTGCGCGGCCTGCCCTTTACCCTCATTACCAGCAGGACGTACTGACCGTCCTATGCTTACTAAAACCTTGGAAGCATGCTCTCTAGTCTAGTAGTCATTGATGAAGATCATTGATGGGTTTCTGGCAGCATTGGCTATGTGGTTGGAGTTCAGCGACAAGGTTTCTGGCATTCTGCACCTCAGAGTTGAGTAATGACGATGGCATTAATATATGTACCTCAGTATCACAGTATCAAATGGTGAGCCAAAAGTCAGTTTGCTCCCAATCCTCTCTAATGAACTTAGCATGCTTCTCGTCGCACTATGCTTACATGTCTCCAGAGCCTTTGTCAACGTCTTGATTGCAGCGGAAGCATGACTCCCATGTCTCGTCTCTTTCTCATGCCACTCTGACTTTGATCTGTTGAAGCGGACAGTTGGCACACCGGAAGATGTTGCAGTTGGGACATCCAGGAGTGGAGTTACAACTCATCCCAGTATCGCCACATTGACACTAAGTATCCGAGTATAATCAGCATTCCAGGGCCAACTAAAAGTCCACGTGTTGCAATTCGTAAATTTACTTACGCAAGTCCAAACCCATTGATATTCATACTTTTTACTGCCACCATATCCTTTGAACGAGTGCCTAGAAGACGGGAACACCGGGGTGAATCCAAGTTGTTGAGTTGCGTTGGATGTATTTGGTCGCGACGTGGGCTGACCTTCCTTGGAGCCCTGGTGCAGCGCCTCATCAGTTTTTATTGCAGTCATTGGTATCGAAGAAGTTGAAGTTGGCGCTTGTATCGAGGGGGCATTTTGGGAGTGTTGTGTCGTGGCGCCAAAGCTTCCTTCGTTGGTGGGGAGGTTTGTCTCAGCAGGGAACGACATTAAGATGTTGACAATTATGTCCTCGGCGCTCATAAAAAGCGCTAATGGTTCACCTGCGTAAGCAGCTACAATCATGCCAACAAATTTTGTGTCCTTAATCAGCCATGCACCCGAGGTTCCCCTTGCTATATCCGATGTTTGGTCAGCTTATTATAACCGCACGGAAAGTCTTAGTCGTAAGATGTTCACTTACCGAGTGGTTTCGCCAACTCTACAGTTCGCAATAACAACTTGCCATTACTGAAAGGAAGACTTGTGGCCCGCGGTAGTAAGGTTCCTTGTGCTACATTATCAAGACCCAAGATGACTGAGACCGGCCCTTGCTCCAGCTCGTGGTTAGCAACAAATGAAGTAATTTCCGCAGTATCAAGGGCAGAAAAAGGCCTGTTACTAAAACCATCGAAGGCCTTGGTTCTTAGCAGTGCGTAGTCGCTGGATGAAATGGCGTTTACCGCATGCTTCTTATCGGAGTACAGCTTGCCAAGAAAGTTGATCCCTACGACACCGTCGAAGGGCTGCCATCGAGCGACCTTTGACGCGTCCCGCTGTCCGAGAGAATCTTCATCAGGATCGATGAAATCTTCTTCATCCTCGCCGCCGTCTATTTTACTTTCTCTTTCGTCCAAATCCGACTCGCAAAGATCGGTATTCCAGAAGGTGTAGTCAGTCTCTCGTTCCACACCTGTAAGCCCCTCTTGTTCTTCGTGGAGGGACATCTGATCCAGAATTCCGTGGGCAGTGGTCATTGCAACACTGTCAAATGCTTGATGATAATCACCAAGAATTTGACTGAGGAGCCCTCCAATGCGAGAGAAATGTTGTCCCAAGATTTCGCCGCTTCTGATCAGCGTAGAGCAGCAAAGTGTACCGCACACCGAATCGACAGTCCTTTCGCCATTTGGAACCTCGAAATGATATAGAATCACTGTCCCAGGTTTTTGAAGCCCCGACAGCCCTTCTGGCCCAACCGGCAGTTGAGATAGAGGAACAATCGCTCCAGCAGCCATAAATACCGGGCCACCGACATGGACCTGTGGGCGTTGGACCGAAAACTGTATTGGGCGCTCTAGATCATTGATGCATTCAATGGTCTCTTTCCGGCACTCTTCGCTTCCACAGTATATCCAAATGCAAGGCGAAATAGTAACCAGTTCCGAATGATTGTTACGTTTGCCAGACAGCCGCAGCATAGACACTATCCGCCAACTGTTGGGATGGGGTACCCTGTTGGTACGGAACCTTCTTTGTTGGTGTTTCTTAACGAGATTCAGTTCGACCACCCGCAAATCGTAATCCAGGGCCTGTTTGTAGTCGTCCCATTTCGCTTGTAAGGTCGAGGAAATTGGCAACTTTGACTCGTACGCGATCCAAATGTCGGAGGATTTGAATCGGTAAATGTCAGAAGATACAACTGGCAGTTGGTAGGTGTCTTTCGTAAACTCCATGTCCTTGCCTTTCTCATGTTGAATTTTGCCCTCTTCTATCTCGGCATCAACACTGGCAGTCGCGAAATGCTGCAGATTCCTTGGCGACGCATCGTTCGAACTAGCCAACTTATTGCTCGCATCCAATGCTGAGGTACACACTAATGGAGGTTCTTCGAGTTCGACGTTGATACTATCTCCAAGTGACGACACGATCGGTGCCTGAGGCTCTGAGAGATTAGAGGCCTGTCCTATGGGGGATGTTGTATCTGGAGCTTCCACCGAGATCGTTTCGGGGGGGCGCGGAGGGTTGCGGGCCAGGTGGTCAAGAGCTGGAACAACCTCGTTGTGCTTAGGGCGTCGATGAGTCGTGAGACTACCCAATGCGGCAACGGAATTACGTAGCCTCTGTGATGCGGACATTTCTTGAAGTTGGGGGTTCGAGTTTTCGAATCTCTTGAATACCGAGGAGAAAAATTTAAGCTGCCATGATTTTGGCTGCCTTAGTCCGGGTGAGAACAAACCAGCGTTCAGGGCAAACTACGAAAATTTTTTCCACAGCCGCTCAGGCCTGAGCGGCTGTGCAAACAGCCACGCAGATGTACGCCAATCAATCATGAACCTGGGTACTGTACCATCTAAAATTCTAAATACATCGAAGGGGCTGAGTGCAGAATTTGCCTCACAAGATTATCCAATGAGTTCGCCGTAGTCCGTCTGACGGGTTGCCCGCGCTTGGGAGCAAGGAATTTGCTTACGTGGGAGGCCTCCATGATTTAATAGGTGCCCTCATTAACAGAAGCAATCTTCCGCGCAGCTTCATTTCATGTGCGACTTCTATGAGCTTTCATCAAGTCCTCACCCATGATGGATATTTCGAGATATCTGTTCAGGGGAATAACATCAGATACCGCCGTAGCAGACATTCAGCTCTGCAAAAAGTTCTGGCCAACGTTGGCACAAGACGATCTGAAGGAATACCCTCCACACCAATACACGATTTTGACGAGCCATCTGAGAGAAAGGGTCTCAGCTATCACGCAAACTCTAAGCCCTTATGTGTCATCGGCCGCTGCCACACAGACGTTAGATTCGATGATAGCATGCGTGCACAATTCTCAACACCGGCCGGTCAAAGATGTTGCAGAGGAATTTAAGAGTCTGATTCCTTCGTGGGAGGAAAACGAACGAAAATTCATGGACATCACCTATTCCACAATTTCACTTGCCGCCATGGTGGACATTGACAGAAAGCTGTCAAATTCTACTTCATTGGACATATCACTGGCACATCTGATTGACCAACATTTCAGCCCAGCCAGAGATATTAAACCATGCCCAATCAGCCCCGAACTCACCGTGAGTTACCTAGTTGTGAACTACGGATTCTCTGTTCGATGGACAGACTACTTGAATGAGCATCTCGATATCAACTGGGAACGCCGAATTCTCTGGATATTCCAACACAAAGTCTGGCTAGCTGCACAAATTAACTCCAAAGCCGACACTCTACTGCCCCTAGAGGTAGCTGAAGAGGCGCTGGATACGCTCAACTGCTTGTTCCCTCACCACCATGCCCCAACGACTTCCTTCATGGCGAAGCATGGGCAAGAGTTTCATCGATTAGGGTCTTTCAACAGAAGGCCAAGAACTGAAGTGAGCGACTTCAAGTACTGGGGTGGCAAGATTGAGCAGTTGATGGGAGAATTGGGTAAGCCGCGCAGGGGGCTCCGTCAGCTGCGCCCAGACAAGCGAAATGTTCTCAACCCCGTCAACTTCTGGGTTGCCGCGGGTTTGGCATGTCTTGCGTTTCTGAGCAGTATTGTATTTGGAGCGGTATCAATCTACTATGCCAAGCGTTCACTCGAGGTATCAGAACAGTCGCTTGAGCTCTCGAGACTTCAATATCTTTTGTCAGTCGCTCAGGCATGCTCGACACCGAAAGACGCACAATCCTTGCCCGAGTTCTGTTCAAATTAGGGAGTAGTCAAGTTGAATGTCAAACGGGTTTATATGAAGCGGCTCATAGACAAGCTGACAAGAAGGCTATCAACTCACTCCGCTGGGATGTTGGTGATACTTAGTGTGATATGTACACCTGCAAAGTAAATGACAAATCGGAACAAGCGCCAATGACAAGAATCGCAAAGCTTACTGAAATCAAGACACGATTAACACAACTGAGCTTCAACTAGAGAGATCCAAGTGAACCTGGCGGATATTATTTGCTTGAGGGGATGGGGTTCCTCGTCACAGTCAATTCATACGCAGTACCGTTATCATTTCCTCAACATAGAGAATAATTACCTATTCCATACATCCCTCAAAACATTCATCTTAACTTCAACCCCAACGCGCACCCAACGCATTATACAAAGTCTGATTCACAGGCAACACACTCCCATGCCTCAACCCACTCGGGAACCCCGTCCTTGAACTCGCGCTCCACCCGGCATTGCTCGCCACATTCCCCGTCTCATACGGCCTGTACCCGTCCTCGCCGTAGAAATCCAGCAGCACGTGCGCCTTGCCCGCGACCTGGTTGTCCCAGTAGCTCGCCGGGCCCTCGACGCCGCTCTGGATGATCGCGGACGACCCGCCCGGGCGCGTCCACGTGCCGAACAGCCCCGTGGTCGAGACCTCGACGAAGACGGTCTTGAGCGACTCGTCCTTGAGGAAGCGCACGAAGGACTTGCCGTCGGTGCCCGTCGGCAGGATGTTGAGGTCGATGATGTTGGTGGGCGACTTGTCGATGTAGGTCGCGGGCGCGGAGAAGGTCTTGAAGTCGGAGGTGTAGGCGTAGCGGATCACGATGGGGCCCGGGGCGCCGGTGTGGTTTGGGTCTGAGGAGGGGTACTGCGCGGCGTGGTGTTAGATTATGGGAATTCAATGGCAAGCCGACGGCCGTGAGGGGCAGACTTACGAATTTGGAGGCCCAGTGCACGAGGTACTGGCCTTTACTGGGATCCCAGATGGCCTCCGGGGCCCAGACCATGCCGGCGCTGGAGTTCTCGACGACCACGAGGCGCTCGCCGCTCCAGTTGACGAGGTCAGTAGACTCCCAGACGAAGATGCCCTTGGAGCCCTGTCGTTGGGCGGCGTCCCATGTCGTCTAAACTTTCGTGTTAGACCGGCACAACATTGGATGAACACCATCAGATGACATTGAGAGTCTCAACATGCCTTGCCAATGTCCAAATCCGTTCCGACAATATACCACTTCTTCCCCTTCTCCGCGCCGCCGCCCTCCACAATCGCAGGGTCGCGCACGCCCCCGGTGCCCTTGGTGGGCTTGATCACCGGCGAGCCAGAGTTGAGCGCGCGGAAGGAGACGGCGTTGTTGCCGTTGCTGAGGTACAGGTAGACGTATGGGTCGGCGCCGAGGAAGAACGCGCCGAGGTATCCGGTCAGACTGGGATCCGCGCGGGGGGCGAGGTCGCTGAAGTCGAGGGACTGGATGGGGGAGGCCAGGGCTGCTGTTGCGGCCAGGCCAGCGCCGAGAAGGGCTTTGAGAGAGGGCATCGTTGTGGGGAGCTGAATATATCACGAGGACGCTGAAGAGAAAAGGAAAGAGGATTCAATGAGATTGAGGCGGAGGTGAGTGCTTTTGAACACTGCCTGAATGACCCCGCAACTCTGGGGATATCAAGTCGTCACGCCTGCACACGTCGTCATGGAGACTCGACTACTCCGCCGAGGCGTGCTGGTGGGCGGTTATCGCGACATTGCAACGCGAGTAGCGTCGTGCTCGGAGGGAGCCACGGATTGGAACGCATGGCATTGGGAGGTGGGAAGGTTCAGGATAGACACCTCCGCCGAGGCTAAGATGGACCACCATTCATACGCATCGAGTGGATGCCCAGCCACTAAGGGTGCGATTTTCCCGTGATGGAAGAACTGCTGTTCGCTCATCTCACACGTGGCGGGGGCCTCGGAGCCGGGATGTAGGCAGTTTGTGAGGTTGCAGCCGCCTTCTCTAATTTGCTTGGCTAGTCAGTCACGAGGGTCCATTTGGGCAGGATAAAATGACTTGAGTGTGTCAGTCCACCGGAGCAGAACCCCATTTCTGCAAAAGACATCATCGAGAAAACGGAAGGTAGCGGTAAACAAGGCAAAAGAGCAAAACAAGGCCGCACATCCGGCCCCCTCCGAGGTTTCGCTCGGTACCTGACAGGCACCGGACCACCTGTTTGACAGCACAGATCACCAAGAACAGGGAAACGCAGGCATGGTCCCAACCTTATGAAGAGGGGCGGCGCGAGGGGAAACTGGGGAACTCCCAGGTGCCGGGAGATCTTTCGCCAGATGCGACGTCAGGTGCG